TCCTCCGTCCGTTGCCGTGCAGGCGAGCGCTGCGCGCGCCTCCTATCGCGGTCGTCCTCACTTTCCTCTCCCCCCTGCTCTGGTGATCGCCATCCGCCCAACGCCATGCACCTCCTACACTCATGTCCGCGTCTCGGCTCAGGCGAGCCATACACTCCCGCTTGCACGTCTCGCCTCCTCTCTTCCTCACGGCTGGCTTCTGGCGCGCGCTTAGCCTCCTTGCCTTCACCGTGCCTTGCATTACTTCTGCGCAGCCTGCCTGGCGAGCGATCTGCATCTGTGCCCCCGCGGCGCCTCGCATCATTCTCAGGCAATTCGCCCGCCGAACCGCCCGCATCCGCGCTCCCATGGCGCCTTGCGCCATTCCCGCGCATTTCGCCCGTCGAACCTGCTGCAACCGCGCTTCCGCGACGCCTCGCGTCATTCTCAGGCATTTCGCCCGTCGAACCGTCAGCATCCGCGCTTCCACAGCGTCTCGCATCATTCCCGCGCATTTCACCCGTCGACCCAGCTGCACCCGCGCTCTCGCGGCACCTCGAGCCATTCCCGCGCATTTCGCCAGCACGACGATCCACATCCGTGCTCACGCGGTGCCTCTCGCCACTCCCGCACGCTTCGCCAGCAGAACGATCTGCCTCCGCGCTCCCGCGTCGACCTGCGCTACTCCCACGCACTTCGTCTATTGAGCGGCTTGATCCCGTCGCCTTTCCGCGCTCTTCGCGTTTCTCTCCACGGCGACTCTCGCCTCCCTCACGCATGTCGTCCGGCGAGCGATCTGCTCCCGCGTACTTTGGATCATCCTCTGCCGTTTCCTCGCCGTCGGCCTCGTTTGCCAACATCAGCGAGCCCATTTCGTTGGCATCCTCATGATGCCCTTCACCCGCGCCCCGCTGGCCTCTTGCCAGATCCCAAGGACCGCTTCTTGACGGCTGAGGCCTCGTCGCCAATCTCATCTGCAGATCGGTCTTGCCTCCATCGCGCCGTCCGTCACCAGCTGCCATCTGATCCGCCCGATACGCCTCTCTTGGGCGAGCGACCTGGCGATCGTTCCCGAACCTGTGAGCGCATCCGTCGCGACAGCGGAATTTCCCGACGCGAATACGTTCGCTGCCAGCGCAGCTCGTTGCAGTCCATATTGCAAATTCTTTCTCTCGTTTGTGAGAGATTTCCGCTCCCACACGATGGCATGGCTGCCCACAGTGGCTTTAGCTACCTAGCTGGAGCTAGCTTGAAACGGTAGTTTAGATCCACTATACGAGGCAAACAAACGAGAGAACGAACTAAGTAGTGAGTTCCTAGCCTATTTGAATCTCTACCCCGTGCCGCTCAATTTCCCGTAAGTCACATTGGGCTCCGCCCGCTAGGCTTCAGGATTGGCCCTTCAGGATGGGCTCGCCCTTGAATTTGTCCCGCCCTGCGCCTCGCAAGTCCGCCGGTCACCACTTAGCGTCACTGCCCACGCACCGAACTCTCCTTCTACAGTGCTTCGAATAACCCAACTACACCTACACTAGCGAGTAACTGAATATATTGCAACTAACAATCTATTCGGTGACAGCATGAGCCTATGAGCATGAGCATATGAGCATATGAGCATGAGCATATGAGCATGGGCATATGAGCATATGGGCACGAGCATATGAGCATGGGCATATGAGCATAGGCACGAGCACATGAGCATGAGCATATGAGCACGAGCATATGAACATGAGCATATGAGCATGAGCATATGCGCACGAGCATATGAGCATGAGCACATGAGCATGAGCAAAAGAGCATGAGCATATGAGCATGAGCATATGAGCATGAGCATGAGCATGAGCCTATGAGCATGAGCATATGAGCATATGAGCATGAGCATATGAGCATGGGCTCTGCATATGGGCACGAGCATATGAGCATGGGCATATGAGCATAGGCACGAGCACATGAGCATGAGCATATGAGCATGAGAATGTGAGCATGAGCATATGAGCATGAGCATGTGAGCATGAGCACGAGCATGGGCAAATGAGCATGGGCATATGAGCATGGGCATATGAGCATGGGCACATGAGCATGAGCATATGAGCATGAGAATGTGAGCATGAGCATATGAGCATGAGCATGTGAGCATGAGCACGAGCATGGGCAAATGAGCATGGGCATATGAGCATGGGCATATGAGCATGGGCACATGAGCATGAGCATATGAGCACGAGCATGGGCATGGGCATGAGCATGAGCATATGAGCATGAGCATGGGCAAGAGCATACGAGCATGAGCATACGAGCATGAGCATATGAGCATGAGCATGAGCATGAGCATACGAGCATGAGCATGCATGAGCATATGAGCATCGGCATGGGCTTGGACATCAGCGCATGAGCGCATCATCTAATAAGGATCATTCACATAATCAAGATTGAGGCAATATCCGCGACTCGCGGGCCGACATGACTTATCATCAAATGGCGGAGCAATTGCAATTGCGCAGCCTTCCAGGAACACCTGCGAAATTTGTGTATGGTAACCCTAATTCTGACGAAAATTAGAGTCGTTTTGCTCCGTCTAGCCGCTATTAATATCATCCTCACGAAACACTTCGCGAACTAATTGCCACGTTTCGCGAGTGATATGGAACAAAGTTGCGCAGATTTTCACTTTGTACCTTACGGTAATGGAAAACATACCTTCGCAGCCCAGTTCGTAGTATCAGGTATACCGTAATGGAAGATTCTAAGAAATACGTCGAAACGAATCGTCCTACCGTGAGCGGGATCAGTGGCAGCGAGGGAGCCGCGACTCGGAAGAAAGGTAGCGAGCAGCGCAAACGTTACTACGAGCGGCGGTGAAATTCGCACGGGCGATGTTACTTGCAGCGGTGCACGACAACGTGACCTGACCCAGCGAGCCATTCTTGAGGCGGCGCCTAAGCTTCCGCCTGGAGTGAATCGCGTGAAATAATCGCGAGAAAAAACTCCCCGACAGAGTCCAGAACTGGCAATTCCCTGTGGTAGTAACTGCATCAGTCATGCATGAGGAGAGGACAATCACGACGCGCGTCACGCGCAGTGAGTGAAGTGATGTCTTGCCGTTTTTGTAAGCTTGCTAGGCACAATTCTGAAGTTCAAACAAACCGATTTCTTAAGTACTCAAACTTTCATAACCGTAGTGAATTACAGACTGATTCCCTGAGCTTCGTATGACCTTGCTGCTTGGCTCCTTTGTGGCCCTTGCTCGCGGAGGATGTTGAGCTTGAAGCTCGAATTTCGATACGCGATTTTGCACGACACAGTACGGTTGTGATCTATTGGACTTCAGATCAACCCCACACACTAATACACACAATTAGGGCCTAAAAACTATTGCTTTGAAACCATCATGGTTCAAAAACCACTTAATATGAAAGAACAGGGACAGAGGCTCATAGGTCATATTTTTCAGAATATTAAGAATATTTAGTCTGATAACGTCAGCCATGTGGTAATTACCACTATTATTCACACCACATTCAGTCTTAGTATGAGTGAAATGTTTATGACATAACGAAGTCTGGTGCAGAGTGATACTAGCATCAATAGTGATAAAGCTTCTGCTTGTACAAAAGACGTTTACAACCAATCAAGTCCCGACGCGTGCTTATGCGTCCTACAGAGGCAAGCTACAGAGCGGAATTTCGGGCAGCAAGAGGACGAACACGACGAACAAACTCATTGAATTTTGAAGAGACACTGTACAGTTGTTCAGGGCAGGGATGCCTGGTGGGTTGCTGCTTGTTCGGGGTGTCGTGCTGCCCGAAGTGGCTCCTCGTTAGCTTGCTGCCCGGAGCGCGGAAAAGGAACAAGCACTGGGCCGGAAACTGCGCGAGGCGCATCTTGTGTGAGGTGGCCTGCGTCAAATCAGTAATTGCACTTAATCCCTCCCAACCTCACTGTAGCGTACATAATCGCCTAAACACACTTCGGAAATGAATGGGTTTCTGGATCATTCCTCCAGAAACCCGCACGTGTGCGGAATCTTCAGGAGGAAGACCCTAATGCGAAGAAATTGATGGCGGGAAACTTATCAGTCACGCTCGTTTACACGGTTACCAAGTTTGTAGTGTGTTCAAAGACGGTTCGCTCAAACTTTGGAATGGTGTGACACGTCTAGAGACTGATATTGTTGACAAAAGAGGATACCGCTGGCAGACATCACTTCACTACATAGTTCCCTAAACTGTCACTACCTTTACTACGCCGCTTTTGGAGTGTTCGTACTCTGGAATCTGATGAGGAGTTGTTCTCGCAAATACTCCACGACAATGTGCCCCAGGCGATAGATTTAATCAAAGCGCCGCCTCAATCAGTAGCAACGGACGACAATGGCTCGTCGTTCTGTCGGATCTCGTTGTCACACGCCGCTGCGAGCAACATCGTCGTGCGAGTTCGTACCACTCCTAGCAACGCTCGCGCTGCTCGCTGCCTTGCTTCCGAGTCGCGGCGTTCTCGGTGTGACTGATCCCGCTCATGGTAGGCGATTCGTTCCTCCGACGGTTGACGATTCGTTCCTCCGACGCGATTCCCTAAAATGCTTAATGCGATCAGTGGTTGATTTCGCACACGTTAGGCGATTCGCTCCGTCGTATTTCCGAAATACGTTTTACTTTTGAGGGAATGCTAGTACTACTAACTACTCCTGCGAATTCCCCCGCCGGCGAATCTGCTGGATGCTGTATAATAGGAAAGGCGAATATGCTTTAAGTTGATCCTGTTTCGATCACTCGTAAGATGTCGCACTTAGTTTGAACGCGTTCATCCGGGATAGAAATTTGAGTGTCAATCGTCATTTAGCATTAACCCCAATGTGGTTAACAGTTTGGGGAACCTTGCACATGTTGAAGCACTGCACCGCGGAGCTCCAGTGGAGTCTTCTGGCTGTCCAGTGCGAGCAGTCGGAGAATGACGATTCCGTGCATGGATTTGACACTGTGTCTTTTCTTAGAGGCGAAATTGCATCGCAAAAATCCGAACCACCCATGCCTTACGACCTTCAAGAGCCATATCTAGTGGGTGGTGACCTAGGCTGGGAGCACCCCCTTGAACGCAAGCTCCTTTGACTCAGTTCGGAACTGAGAGCGCCTCATAAGTAAGCCGCTCTGCTGCGCCGCCTCTCATTTAGCTGTCCCTACGTCCGCCACTCCCCATCAGCATCGCTCTCCCCCCTCCCTTTCCCCCCTTGCCCTCCCCCACCCCTCTCCCTTCTTCCCCCACTCACCTCTTCTCAAAACCTATCGGCCGCACGGGATGCATTCTCGACGACAGGAAAAGGAACGTTCACCACAATAGGAATGCACCTAGTGTCGCCAAGGGACAAAACAACAACCTTCATTTTGCCACCCTCTAGGTGATACCCTCCGTCCCCCCTCTCCACCCCAGCAGCCCTGCGGCATACATGGCTAATGCCCCATCTTGCCCATGCTTTCTTTGAGGCGAGTTTCGCCTCAGAAACAGCCGCATCACATGCACGGCTGATGCCTCATGCAAATGCTGTGCTGTCCCTAGGCACCAAACACACAGCAATGACTTCTCTGCGTTTCCGCTCACCCGCCTTCCAGTGCCCATTCAGAGGACCTTCGCAGCTCTACTTACGTCACCTTGGTCACCCAACCCAATCCTTTCACACGGCTGGTACCTCATAAGTGTACCTTGTCTGCGTTCCCCTTCCCCACTGACCCACCTTCTAGTGGCCATTCTCAAGACCTTCGCGGCTCTAGGCAACCCCAGCAGCCCCCCGTTCAACGCGTGGACGGGGGATGATCCGTGTGGGGGAGAGGCGGGGAGCGCGTGGGCTGGCATCAAGTGCGACACTGGCAGCCCGTATAATTCCGTGACTGAGATGTGAGTGCAGCTTGGGGGACTGGGGTGGTGGTGCTTTGTGCCCGTGTGAGATGGCAGATGCAGGGAGCGCATGGGCTGGCATCAATTGCGGCACTGGCAGCCCGTACAGTACAGTTGCTGAGATGTGAGTGCAATGAGGGTGGACAGGGATAGTGCTGTGTGCTCGGATGGGGGAAGTCACGTGTGGGGCAGGTGCGGGGAGCGCATGGGTGGCATCACGTGCGACACTGGCAGTCCGTACAGTACAGTTGCTGAGATGTGAGTGCGGTGCGGGAGGGGGGCAATAGGGTGGTGCTCCTTGCTTGAACGGGGGGCCAAACCGTGCAGGGCGTATGCAGGGAATGCATGACTGTGCAGGGCATCAAGTGCGACACAGGCAGCCCGTATAACACGTGGCTGAGATGTGCGTGGGGGAAGGGGGCGTTGGGTGTTGATCCTTGCTTGAACGGGGGGCCAAATCGTGCAGGGCGTATGCAGGGAGCGCATGGGCTGGCATCAAGTGCGACACAGGCAGCCCGTACAACACTGTTTCTGAGATGTGAGTGCGGGAAGGGGGACTATGGTGGCGCTCACTTCTCCTTGCCTGAACGGGCCGTGCGAGGCAGGTGGGGGAAGTGCATGGGCTGGGCTGGCATCAAGTGCGGCACTCGCAAACCGTTGGCTGTGATGTGAGTGCAGGAAGGGGCAATGAGGTGGTACGCTGTTTGGGAGTCACTTTTGAGAATTAACAAAAGTAACCGTTGGCTGGGATGTGAGTGCAGGAAGGGTCATTGAGGTGGTACGCTGTGCTAGGACTGGGGAAGGCCCGTGCAGGTGGTGGTGTAGATGCAGATGCAGCGAGTGCATTGTGATGTGCACAACGCCGATCTAAAGAAAGACATGTGAGAATTACGTTTTGAGGGAAAGCTGGAACGTCAGTTTTCTTACCCCTTCGCCTCTCCTTCTGTCATTTCCTTCCTCCTCTCCCCTCTCTCACCCCCTTCAGTGACATTCAGGACGCCCAGCTATCAGGAGACTTGCCGCCTTCCCTTTTCAACCTCACATCGCTTCGCCTGCTGTGAGTTCCCATGCCACCCCCATCCGCCCGTCCCTCTCTATCATTCAACTGCATGCCCCCCTTCCCCCTCTCTTTCATTCGACTGTCTCGCACTTTCCATATCTTCCTCCCCCTCCCCCCTTCACTATCCACAGCCAGCTGAAGATCTCAATTCGTAGCTCATGGAACCTCTTACCCTCAGTAACCCTGACGCTCCCATTGTGACTCCTGTCCCTGCCCCTTTCTGCCCCCCTTTCTTCAGCAATCTGGCGCTCAACCCGAATCTGACGGGCAGCTTTCCAGATGCTCTCAGAAACCTCCTGCAGCTCACCACGCTGTGAGTAGTGAGCACTTCTTTCCTGTGAGCCCTCTCTGCTGCGCTGCGCTGTGAGCACCTGTGTTGTACGGACACTGCTGCATTCTAAGCACTCTGCTGGGCTGTAAGCATTCCGGTGCACCATAAGCGCACTGCATATGGGATATCTGCATACAGGAGCACACAGGCTATCTGAAATTCCTCTTTCCTGCCCCTTATACCATCCCTTCTGCACCCCCTCCCCCCGCACAAACAACAAGCAGAGAGATGCACAAGTGTTGCCTATCAGTCTCCATCCCGTCCACCATAGGGCGACTCACCAGCCTCAAATACTTCCGAGCCAATCACAACCGCCTCTTCCTTCCCCCAACCCTCCTTTCGCCGCCCTCCGCAGGGACATGCATGGGTGTTGCCTGTCAGGGACCATCCCATCCACCATTGGCCGCCTCACCAGCCTGAGCTACTTCCTGGTCAACCAGAACCGCCTCTTCCTTCCCCCAACCCTCCTCTCGCCCCCCTCCGCAGGGACATGCACGGGTGTGGCCTATCGGGCTCCATCCCAGCCACCATCGGCCGACTCACCAGCCTGAGCTACTTCCTGGTCAAACAGAACCGCCTCTCGGGCTCCCTGCCAACACAGATCGGCACCCTCCCCCGCCTCTACATGCTTGATGTAATGGAGAATCAGCTGGAAGGGCCCCTTCCGAAGTTCCAGGGGGCAAACGAGCTCAGCCACCTGTGAGTGCCCCTATCCATGCTTAACGCCATGATGACCCGGATGGAAGGGCTCCTGCCATGATGACCCGGATGGAAGGGCTCCTGCCATGATGACCCGGATGGAAGGGCTCCTGCCGTGATGAAAAATGGCAGGGGCCCCTTCCAACCGGATGGAAGCCCCCCTGCCATTGTTCCAGGGTGCAAACGAGCTCGCACACCTGTGAGTGACACCCATCCCCACCTGGAGTGTCAACCATCCCCCCCTATCAATATCACCCCCATCCCTCTCCTTATGAGTATCACCCCCATCCCTCTCCCTATGAGTATCAACCCCATCCCTCTCCCTATTAGTATCACCCCCATCCCTCTCCCTATGAATATCACCCCCATCCCTCTCCCTATAAGTATCACCCGCATCCCTCTCCCTATTAGTATCACCCCCATCCCTCTCCCTATGAATATCACCCCCATCCCTCTCCCTATAAGTATCACCCGCATCCCTCTCCCTATGAGTATCATCCCCATCCCTCTCCCTATGAGTATCACCGCCATCCCTCTCCATATGAATATCACCCGCATCCCTCTCCCTATGAGTATCACCCATCCCGCTCGCTGAGAGCATCACCCATCCTCACCTGCTTTCTCCTCTCCTTACCCACCCTGAGCTCGGGCACCTTTGGGTGTCTGTTGCTCCCTCTCACGTCCTCACTCCCCACATCTTCTTTTCCCCTCCTCCGTTCGCTTTCCCCTAATCTGTATTTCCCCTCTCCCTCCCCCCTCCCACTCTCTCCCCCTGTGGTCCCCCTGCCCTGCAGCCACATGAGCAACAACCTCTTCACGTCTGTTCCAGCAGAGATCAGCAGACTGCCCAAACTGCTGCACCTGTGAGTCGTGCTCAAGGCGCGCATGTCTAAGTCGTGCTCAAGGCGCGCATGTCTAAGTCGTGCTCAAGGCGCGCATGTCTAAGTCGTGCTCAAGGCGCGCATGTCTAAGTCGTGCTCAAGGCGCGCATGTCTAAGTCGTGCTGAGTAATGAACCCTGCAAATCCCAACCTCAGATAACCTCACCCATGCCCTTCGATTGGCTGTGTCATACATGTAGTGTTGCTACTCCTCCACCCGTATAACATTCTTGTTCGCTGCTGTCGTGTGTTGCTTGGCAGGCTGATGGACAGCAACCGTCTCACCCATGACTTTCCACTCGCTTTCAACAACACCAACCTCACTGTCATGTACGCGTGTGCGTGCGGTGCAGGAATGTTCCACTATGTGTGTGTGCGGTGCAGGAATGTTCCACTATGTGTGTGTGCGGTGCAGGAATGTTCCACTATGTGTGTGTGCGGTGCAGGAATGTTCCACTATGTGTGTGTGCGGTGCAGGAATGTTCCACTATGTGTGTGTGCGGTGCAGGAATGTTCCACTATGTGTGTGTGCGGTGCAGGAATGTTCCACTATGTGTGTGTGCGGTGCAGGAATGTTCCACTATGTGTGTGTGCGGTGTGGGCGAGTTGAGTTGACTCAATACTCCACTCGCTTTCAACAACACCAACCTCACTGACATGTATGTGTGTGTGAACATTTTCCACTATGTGTCTTTACTTGGGTAAGGAAGGATTTTTTGTTAGAAACCATGTGTGTGCGTTTAGCCATTTTGAGTTGACTCAAAACTCCACTCGCTTTCAACAACACCAACCTCACTGTCATGTATGTGTGGGGGAGGCATTTTCCACTATGTGCCTTCACTCAGGCTAGGAGTCTTGTAAACTAGCTGTTAAGAACCGAGTATGCATTTAGCAAGCACCGATAATCTTGCATGCAAAGAGCGGTCTATGTTGCTTGCCGGTCTCCTGCTGTTTGAGGTGACGCCTGAGTCGAAAGTGCTTGCACAAGTCAAAAGTTGTGCTTGTACCACCTCTTTATGTTGCTCGTAACCTGCTGCAAACTAGTTCTGTCCTGCTTAGCTCGTCTTGTTCTGCTCGTCGGTACGTGCCTCCATGTTAAAACCAAGTAGTTGCCTTTCTCCCACCTTGGTGCGGCCCATTTTCTCCTCTCCCAACCTCTCCCAACCTCTCCCACCCACTCCCACCCACTCCTGCCCCCCTTCACCAAGCAGGCAACTGCTGTAGTCACCGTAATCCGTTGGCTATATTTGTATGACTTTTGAGAATTCTCAAAAGTCAACTGCTGTAGTCACCGTAATCCGTTGGCTATATTTGTATGACTTTTGAGAATTCTCAAAAGTCAACTGCTGTAGTCACCGTAATCCGTTGGCCTTCGGCCCCTGACCTCCAACTTCTCCCGTCTTACCCTCCTTTCCTTTCTTCCTACCAGCTACTGCAGCCACCACTTCATGCTTTAACTTGAACCTCTCGCCTCGTCCACCCCCCCCCCTCTCCCTGCTCCCTTGCCTGCTCCCTCCATTTTCACCCCCTTCCGTTTCCCCCCACCTTCCCTTCTGCCTTCCCCCCCCTCTTCCCTTCTTTCCCGCCTCCCTTCCCTTCGCCCTCTCCTCGCTCCCAATCCATTCCCTCCCCCTTCCCGTCCCCATCTCTCCCGCCCTTCCCCTCTCCCTGCCTCTCCAACCAGCTACTGGAGCAACAACATAATACCCGGCCCCTTCCCCTCCACCTGGTTCTTCCCCCGACTCAAGGACTTGTAAGTCGTTCTCCAACTCAGGAAACTCTAAGTGGCCTCCAACTCAGGAACTTCTCAGTTCACGATATATGTTCTTAAGTCGACTCATTACGTTGACTAATTGCAGAGCAGGGTTGATGGTGCAGCAGAGAGTTCTTTGCTATGTTTGTAAATGTGGGTATTGTATGTGACTATACCCCAAATGTGCATGTGTGCATGTGCATGCGTGGATGTGTCTATTTGCATGAGCGTGCGTATGTGTCCATACGCATATGCATGAGCATGTGCATGTGTGTGTTTCCCTGCAAGTGTGCATGTGTCCATGTGCATGCATCATGTATGTTCATGTGTGTGTATCTCATGACTACATACAAGTCTACTTGTGCACGAATGTGTATGTGTGGGTGCATGTGCATGTGTGTGCTTACATGCATGTATGTGTCTCCCATCCCCACACAGCCTCTTCAGCAACTGCTCTCTACCGAAACAGCCTCTTCCTTCCTTCCCTATCTCTCGCAACCTCTCCAACCTGTAAGCCCTGTTTTGCAGTGCATCGATCCATCCATCCATCCATCCATCCATCCATCCATCCATCCATCCATCCATCCATCCATCCATCCATCCATCCATCCATCCATCCATCCATCCATCCATCCATCCATCCATCCATCCATCCATCCATCCATCCATCCATCCATCCATCCATCCATCCATCCATCCAATTCACATTCCATCAATTCCTATCGAAATCACATACACAATCTGCCTTGTTCCGTGTGAAACAACTTTCCCACCCCCTTTTTTCCTTCGTCTGGTTTCCACTCACATCGCTACTTCCACACCATTCTTCCCCTTCCCTGCACCTCACCCACTCAAAGTCTGTCTGCTACAGACCGTTTATCCCCCCCACCCCCCTTCTCTCCCCCACTCCCCCTTTCCCCCTTCCCGTCCCTTCCCCCTCCCCCATCCGCATTGCCTCCCCTTCACCTTCCCACATCACCTCCCAGGGACCTGAGCAGCAACAGTTTCACAGGCTCCATCCCAGGCTCTCTGTTTTGGCAGCACCCTAACCTCGTCAACCTGTCAGTTCATCTCTTCTGTTTTGGCAGCACCCTAACCTCGTCAACCTGTCAGTTCATCTCTTCTGTTTTGCGTTTCCTACTGTGCGTGTGCATTTCCAAGACATGGCTCAATAGCATTTCAGCAGAACTTTAAACGTCGGATTTTCCGTGTTTGAATTTCTGCTGAAACGCTTTTGAGCCATGGCAACATCATGTCAGTGTCAAGCTTGTTTTTGTGCCATGCACCCCATGCCATGCACCCCATGCCTTGCACCCCATGCCATTCACCTCACTCCATGCACCCCATGCCATGCACCCCATGCCATTCACCTCACTCCATGCACCCCATGCCATGCACCCCATGCCATGCGCCCCATGCTTTGCACCCCATGACTTGCTCCCCATGCCTTGCACCCCATGCTTTGCACCCCATGCCATGCTCCCCATGCTTTGCACCCCATGCCTTGCACCCCATGCCATGCACCCCATGCCATGCGCCCCATGCTTTGCACCCCATGCCTTGCACCCCATGCTTTGCACCCCATGCCATGCACCCCATGCCATGCACCCCATGCCTTGCACCCCATACCTTGCACCCCATGCCATACACCCCCTGTCATGCACTTCGTTTCGGTCTTAAGTCTCACGGCAACCGACCCCCCTCACTGGGTCTTTCCATGACCCCTCCTCTTTCCCTCCTTCCTCCCTCCATCGCCAGCAATTTGGCTAATAACGATCTTAGTTCGAGCTTCCCTCCAGCGATCGCCGATGCTGCCAGTCTGCAATCCGTGTGAGTGGGAGAACCGCCTACCTCAACCTGTATATCTGGCATATATAGCATAGTTGATATAAACAGCATATTTAGCACTGCAGGTTTTGGAAAAGTGTAGGAACCTAGGAGTCAATTAGGGGACGAGAGAGAAAAGCGTGTAAGGTTATAAGCAGGTTGGGGTAAAACCTCAACCGAACCTAGGGCGTGTTCAGCTTGGTGGGATGATGGCAGGAAACTGAACCTAAACTGAACTCGAAATGAAGTTAGCTCTATTTGAAGATGGTAACTAAAAATCATATAGTGCCATCACAAACAGCAGAGCGAGCACGCGCCTACTTCAACCAATAGCTTTACGTTCTGCTGATGTTGCCTTTCTCCCAGTTCTCTGTAATCTCTCCTCATTCCCTCCCTTTCGGCTCCTTCGCTCCCCATTGCCTCCCACCATGTCTCAAAGTCATCCCCTCTCCATGCAATTGGTGCCTCTTTCCAGTCCCCTCACTCCTGTTCTGACGGGGATAAGATACCCAAACTCATGTGCCATGTCCACGTTTCCTCCATCCCTCCACCCCTTCCCCAACCACCCCTCCAGCTTCCTATCCGGCAATCAGCTCAGCGGTCCCTTGCCAGACCTCTCATCGCTGCCCAGCATCGTGTCGCTCTCCCTCTTTGACAACTCCCTCTCCTCCCTGCCGCCCGCCCTGCTCGCCAAGACCAACAACATCACGCTGCAGTGAGTGGCTTTTCTTGTGTGCCGCCCTCTAGTGTACCGCCCTCTAGTGTGCCGCCCTCTAGTGTGCCGCCCTCTAGTGTGCCGCCCTCTAGTGTGCCGCCCTCTAGTGTGCCGCCCTCTAGTGTGCCGCCCTCTAGTGTGCCACCCTCCAGTCTGCTGCTGTTTAGTGTGTCGTCCTTTAGTTTGCTTTCCTCTAGTGTGCGCCGTCCCTACTCACCAGTGGGAACCTCACTCTGCAGTGATCTGCCTTTCTAGCATCCGCATAATGAGCGTGATCCCTCACAGCCTGTATTTGAAAACGAAAATGCCGCTGCTGCTGTCGCTGCTATATAGCACCCCCTTTCTTCCACCCTCTCTTTTCCACCCTCACATTTCCATTTTCTCTTATTCGCCTTCTCTTTTCCACCTCCATTTTCTGTTGGTGTTAGCCCTCAATCTCAACCTTTGTACTTGTAAAACTATATCGTAGTGTAGTTTGTAGTTTGAGCTAGTTGAATGTACATCCACATCTCAACCGAACCCAAACGTGATAAACCGAAAACTCCAACCCACCAATTGGAGTTTCCAGCCAATCCTCTTGGGATTGCTCCCGATTCCCTCCCCATCAATTCCTTGCTTCATTTCAGCCAATCCTCTTGGAATGTAGTTAAGAGCCTTGAGCTCAGTACCTAATGTATCACTTCAAGCTCAAGTTCTTACACCCCCCCCCCCGCTCCTCTGTTCCCTGCTGCTTCTGTCCTTCCTTCTCTTCCCCGTCTACCTCTCCTCGCCTCCCCATTCTCCCACTTTCCCCTTTGTCTCCCTTTCCCGATCCACCCTCTGCCCCCCCAGGCTTTTCAACAACGATCTTTGCAAGCTGTTCAATCCAAACTACACGCAAGTATGCACCCCCACAACCTCCCTCTCTCACTCAATACACATTCCCTCCCCTGCCCCCCCGTCCCCCCCCCCTGCAGGCTTTTCAACAACGATCTCTGCAAGCCATTCAAGCCAGACTACACGCAAGTCTGCTCCCCTCCGACGCCCCTCACCCAATACACCTCCCCTGCCTTCTGCGACGGCCTCGCCTGCGAGAACGACCTCTACAGCCCTAGCGCACCGCTCTATAACGAGTCACACTCTTGCGTGTGCGTGTCCCCGTTAAGAGTCGACCTGAAGCTGTTTATATCGGATTTCGTGGTGTACCATGAGGCGCTGGTGCAGCAGCTGGAGCAGCGGATCTTCTCTGAGCTCACCAGCAAGTCGCAGATCAACATCAGCAGGCCACAGGTCAGTTTCCTAGGACAGTTGTGTGGTGTAACTTCCGGGTTTACTCTGAGGTGCCTGCAGCTGGACCAGCGGACCTTCTCTGAGCTCACCAGCAGGTCTCAGATCAACATCAGTCAACGCTCATCATCACCCTCTTCTTCCCCACCACTCCTCCTCCCTCCCCACCAGGTCCTCGTCTCTGCAATCAGCAGCCCCTCCACGCTCGCCTCCACCTTCGCCTGGGAGCACATCAACCACCAGTTAATGCACGCTCATCATCACGCTTCTCTTCTTCCCTCCGGGGGAATCAACAATAGCTGGTGGTGGTCCCCTTGCATCACACCACAGGGCACATGGCATCCCCAAAGTCAAAATCACGGATCAAGGACTTGATTTCTCATACTTCCCCTCTCACTCCCTCTCCTTCCACTTTTCCCTCCCACCAGGTCCTCGTCTCTGCCATAAGAAGCCCCGCTTCGCTCGACTCGCTTGCCTCCACCTTCGCCTCGGACCACATCAACCACGAGTCAACGCTCATCATCACCGTCCTCTTCTTCCCGCCGGACGGCGATGGCAGCTGGCACCCGCGAGACACACCGCAGGCCATCCGCAACGCCCTCACCACCCGGGACCTTGCCATGCGTGTTGCTCTCAGCAACTTCGGGCTCTTTCGAGTGGTTGGATTCTACGGCCCCGCACGTGAGTCTGGTTTTGTTTCGCTTTATGTGATAATAGTTGAGCTTGGAGACGTCTCAACACTCAACTTTTTATCACGCGGTTGGATTCTACGGCCCGGCGCGTGAGTTTGTCGTGTGTGCGTGTGTGGCACCTCTGCTGGGCTGATCACCTTGGCGTCTGCCCCCAGAGACACACACCGGCAGCCCCCAGAGTATGTTCCCCTCTGAGACACACGTCGTCTGGGCTGAGAGAGTAAGCACTGGTGGTGCCATCGTTGCTATCTCAGTGACTTTTGAGTCGACTCAAAAGTCACCTCGTTACAACGGCACACGACACCACCTCACAGCAGACCTCTTCTGGGCTGAGCACTGGCACGGCACCACCGCTGCTATCTCAGTGACCACTTTTGAGGCGCCTCAAAAATGAGCACGGGCGCCATCGTTGCCATCTCAGTGTGCTCTTTCCTCTCTTCCGTTTCGCCCTTCCCTTTCCCTTTGTTCTCTCCTTCCAACTACAGTCTACACTCCTCCAGCGCAGCAGCAGACTGCATCTCCTGGGCTGAGCACAGGCTCCAGCGTTGCCATCTCAGTGTGCCTCCCCTCCTATCTCTGCGCCCTCTCATTCCAACCAATCCAACCACCCCACGCCCACAGCCTACACCCCCCCAGCGCAGCAGCAGACTGCTTCCTCTGGGCTGAGCACGGGTGCCATCGTGGCCATCTCAGTGTCCTCCGCTGCTGTTGCCATCGCCCTCATTGTGCTTCTTCTCATGCGCCCCTGGGAGAGGCGAGGTAAGAGGACGGAGAACGGGGAGCGGGATAAGGGTTTTGATTCGACTCGAAATCTATCTCAGTGTCTTCCACTGCTGTTGTCATCGCCCTCATTGTGCGACCCTGGGAGAGGAGAGGTGAGCGGGAGAAGCGAGGTGAGAGAGGGAGAAGAGAGGTGAGTAGGAGAAGAGAGGTGAGGAGGAGAAGAGAGGTGAGAGAGGGAGAAGAGAAGAGAGGAGGAGAAGCGAGGTGAGGAGGAGAAGAGAGGTGAGAGCGAGGAGAGAGGTGAGAGGGAGGAGAGACATGATAGGAAGGAGAGGGGTGAGGGGGTGGAAAATATTATAAATCGGTAAGAGGTGAAACGTGACAAGGAGGGTTCGCATTTTTGTTTGCGAAAAGATGGGTTTGGTTGGATTGGTACTGTGGCCAGCAATTTTAACCCCTGCCAATAATTTGGGTTGGTTCAGTAAAACTTAGTCTGAGTTCAGTCACTATATCATCCTATATTCCCCCAACCCAACGTTGAATTGCCAACTCTTAAGGGAGAATCAGTTGTACACCCAATCAAGGTTTGGGCGCCTAGCTCTGATGTTGTGGGTAATATGTAGGATACAAGAAGAATGATATTCTGACACAACGCCATCTGTCAAAAGCCTGACTTGCTCTTCCTGCTCTTGCTTTCCCCATCTCCACAACTTTTTGCCCCTCCCACTTTTCTCCTGCTGCAACAACAACAACAGGTGACCTGTGGAGCTCCGAGCACCACAGCCTACTGCACGATCGAGGGACTCCAGATGCTGGGCGTGCACCAGCGCAAGCTCAAGGAGAGCCAATGTGTGCTCACCACACTTCCCCATCCCTCCTCGCCCCTCCCCATTCCTTCCCACCTCTATGTTTCCCTGCAACAGGAGACCTGTGGAGTTCAGAGGACTACAGGGCGATCGAGGGGCTGCAGATGCTGGGCGTGCGTCGGTGCGAGCTCAAGGAGAGGCAATATGTGCTCCCCACCCCTCCCCATCTCTCCCCACCCCTCCCCTTCCCTTCCCACCCCTCTTCACCCCTTCCCACCTCTCTGTTCTCCTACAACAGGAGACCTGTGGAGCTCGGAGGACTACAAGGCAATAGAGGGGTTGCAGATGCTGGGGGTGCACCGGTGCAAGCTCAAGGACATAGCGGATGCGACCCAGGGGTTCAAGACGCTGCTGGGGGAGGGCGGATACGGACAGGTGTGTATGGGGAGGTATCTGAAATATCTGTGGGGCAAACGGGCTGGGGGAGGGCGGACGGACAAACACGTGTGTAGGGGAGATATATCTGTGGGGCGGACAGGAAGGTACGGTACGGAATGCATAGAGGTGCAAGGTCAAGGAGATGTCAAATGTGACCATGAGGGGAGGGTGCAGATGGGAAGGTACAGGTAGTTACAGTCTGTTATTGTCACAATAGGCTCCAATGTAACTTAAACGAAAGATTGAGGGCATAGACGGATCTATGCCGAGCGGCTTTAAAACTTGATAGCGTTCTTGTCACAGCATTAAATGAAGTGTTTTGAATGGGATCCAAAGAGACTTGATTTCGTCTACAATATGCATTCTGAATCACTCGATTTGATCAAGGATTGACAGTAGTTTGAGCGAACGACAGTGTGACAGCAACTATAGTCTTAGAGCACAAATGAGGAAGAAGTTCGAGTTGGGAATGACTCAAAGCCTCTACAAAACCCAGGGGCCGAGGTCCAGGGACACAATCCACAACCACGAAGGGTCTCAGAAACATATACCACAAGGGCATACACCAAGAGAAATGTAACATTACACAATGCAATGTAACTGTTTTCACTATCTTGATGTTGACCCTTTTGACGAGCTCCGAAATCACTTGAGTCTTAAAACGAAGGCTCTGGTTTATCATTTGAGTTCTTGCTGGTTTGCGACACACAACGACAAAACAGAAAACACACACGATACTTAAACGGCGACGTGGCACGTGACTAGCGAAAAATTGCAATTGACGCAACACACACGTTCGACATCATGACTCATCATTCACACACTCATACAAGCATGAAAAATATGTGTTATCCTATGCTCTTATACCATTCCATGCAAACACACACACAGTACAAGAACAACAAACCGAGTGCAAACCATGAGGTTGCACCATGAGATACAGATGGATACAGACGAGTATGGACAGGTTTGATGGTGTGAGGGGGGAGGGCGCAAATGGGAAGGTACAGACAGGTTCAGAAGGATATTGTCGGGTTCGATGGTGTGAGGGGGGAGGGGTCAAGTGGGAAGGTACAGACAGGTGCACGCTCAGGGAGAGAGATAACGAGACACGACCAAGGACTTCAAGGTACTGCTGGGAGAGGGCGGATATGGGCAGGTATATGGCGAGGCATATATGTGAGAGGTGGGGAAGGATATGGGGCAGGTATACTGTATATCTGTGAGGGGGAAGGGGAGGATACGGACAAGTATGATAGTGGTTGGGGTGGGGCAGCTTCGCTTCCCATGCCTCTTCCCATGCATGTTTCCATGCCACTTCCCATGCCTCCTCCCATTTCCTCTTTCCATTCCTCTTCCCAAGCCTCTTCTCATGCCTCTTCCCAGTGTCTGAAGTTCTGAACCACTGTCAGGTGTACTCAGGAGACACAGAAATGCTCTGCTTTCACCTCGGCTCCCGTTTCTGCTCCCCATGCGTTGCCTATCTGCTCCCCATGCGTTGCCTATCTGCTCCCCATGCGTTGCCTATCTGCTCCCCATGCGTTGCCTATCTGCTCCCCATGCGTTGCCTATCTGCTCCCCATGCGTTGCCTATCTGCTCCCCATGCGTTGCCTATCTGCTCCCCATGCCTTGCCTCTTTGCTCCCCATACCCCAGTGCTGGAATCAGGGGGTGTGGTTCCATATGTCAAAACACTATGCTGCAACTTTAGGCTTTTCCCGTGCCTCTCCTTCGTCCCATGCCTAAGCCACTCTCAGGTGTACCGAGGAGTAATGGAATGGGGGGAAGTGGTGGCAGTGAAGCGCGCCAAGGGGCACGTGAAGGTGGGCCAGGATCAACTCTGTCAGTCAGGTGAACCTTCAGGTGGGGCATCAATCAAGTGGTACACATGTTTGCATATGTTTCCATGTGAACCAACGTAAAGCGATATAAATGCGTCCTGTCTCCTCTACCATGACGAACTCAATGCCTACCGTGCACGTGTAACCTCTCCGTCCATCCATCCATCCATCCATCCATCCATCCATCCATCCATCCATCCATCCATCCATCCATCCATCCATCCATCCATCCATCCATCCATCCATCCATCCATCCATCCATCCATCCATCCATCCATCCATCCATCCACCCATCCGTCCACTATCTCACCTTCTATTCCCCACAACCCACCACCTGTGTGGCACTGATTTCCACAACGAGAGCTCAGCTCAGCTCAGCTGTGCTCCATCGCAGCTTCGTGGCACTCACGGGCTTCTGTCTTTGTCTCTCCCAACTCACTTCTCTCTACTCTCCCCCACTCCCCCCTATGCACGGCCCATCCACCAGTTGTGCGGCACGAAATTTCGCAACGGCTGCTCTCTGCCCCAGTTGCGCCACCGCAACCTCATGGCGCGAAGACACCCCTCTCTCCCTCTGTCTACCGCACTCTTCCCCACATGCCCCACCTACCCACCCACCAGCTATGCGGCATGGAGTTCCATAACGAGATCCAGCTGCTCTCTGCCGTGTGCGACCGCAACCTCAAGGCTCTCAGGGCCTTCTGTGTCCTGCCTACTCACAATCTCTCCCCCAATCCCCTCCCTAGTATGCCCCACCCACCCACCCACTAGATATGCGGCACTGAGTTTCGCAACGAGATCCAGCTGCTCTCAGCAGTGCGCCACCGCAACCTGATGGCCTTGAAGGCACCCCTCTTCCTCTGTTTCTCCATCTCGTCGTCTCTCCTCCTCCCAACCCCCCCATGCACACCCCCCCACCCACCAGCTGTGTGGCACTGAGTTTCGCAACGAGATCCAGCTGCTGTCCGCCGTGCGCCATCGCAACCTGGTGGCACTCAAGGGCTTCTGTGCCTCTCCAACTCACCTCCCTCCCCCACTCCCCCCTGTGCACGCCCCAACCACTACCAGCTGTGTGGCACTGAGTTTCGCAACGAGATCCAGCTGCTGTCAGCCGTGCGCCATCGCAACCTGGTGGCACTCAAGGGCTTCTGTGTGGAGGCGGGCGAGCAGCTGCTGGTGTATGAGTTCATTGAAAGGGGGACGCTGGAGGATATGTTGAGAGGTGAGAAGAAGATGTTGAGAGGTGAGAAGAAGATGTTGAGAGGTGAGAAGAAGATGTTGAGAGGTGAGAAGAAGATGTTGAGAGGTGAGAAGAAGATGTTGAGAGGTGAGAAGAAGATGTTGAGAGGTGAGAAGAAGATGTTGAGAGGTGAGAAGAAGATGTTGAGAGGTGAGAAGAAGATGTTGAGAGGTGAGAAGAAGATGTTGAGAGGTGAGAAGAAGATGTTGAGAGGTGAGAAGAAGATGTTGAGAGGTGAGAAGAAGATGTTGAGAGGTGAGAAGCGGCGTGGTGAGTGTATCAAGTCCCGGTGTGACTTTTGAGACGTCTCAAAAGGCGGCGTGGTGAGTGTATCAAGTCCCGGTGTGACTTTTGAGACGTCTCAAAAGGCGGCGTGGTGAGTGTATCAAGTCCCGGTGTGACTTTTGAGACGTCTCAAAAGGCGGCGTGGTGAGTGTATCAAGTCCCGGTGTGACTTTTGAGACGTCTCAAAAGGCGGCGTGGTGAGTGTATCAAGTCCCGGTGTGACTTTTGAGACGTCTCAAAAGGCGGCGTGGTGAGTGTATCAAGTCCCGGTGTGACTTTTGAGACGTCTCAAAAGGCGGCGTGGTGAGTGTATCAAGTCCCGGTGTGACTTTTGAGACGTCTCAAAAGGCGGCGTGGTGAGTGTATCAAGTCCCGGTGTGACTTTTGAGACGTCTCAAAAGGCGGCGTGGTGAGTGTATCAAGTCCCGGTGTGACTTTTGAGACGTCTCAAAAGGCGGCGTGGTGAGTGTATCAAGTCCCGGTGTGACTTTTGAGACGTCTCAAAAGGCGGCGTGGTGAGGGTATCAAGTCCCGGTGAGTTGATGCAATGCAACCTCATGGCCCTCAGTGTCTTCCCCGTGGAGGCGGACGATGCGGCTGAGGTATGAGTTCATAGAGAGAGGGACACTTGAAGAACTGTTGAGAGATGTAAGTATTGGGTGAGAAGAGGGAGTGGAGGAGTCGGGGTTGAGGAGGATGGGGGAGGGGAATGATGCCACCTTATGGTGAGTGCACTGACTGGCTTGTGTGTGGAGGCGGGCGAGCAGCTGCTGGTGTATGAGAGACACTCAAGGACATGCTGAGAAGTGAGCATCCGTGAAGCCAGCAATGATGCAGCATTAGTGCCTTTTGGTGAAGAGGTGATGTGAGGGGAGGCCATCTCCTCTGCACCGAAGGGCGCTGAACGAGGCTTGCGGGTAGAGAGACAAAGTTTCATGCGATTCAAGAGTTGTGAAGGATACCAACACCCCATACCCTTTCTCTCCCCTTTGTGTGTGCCGACTACCAGCGGACTCAAAACACCCGCTGACGTGGCGGCAGCGGGTTGACATCGCGTGTGGCGCAGCCAGTGGGTTCGCGTACCTGCACCATCAGATCAAACCGCCCATCATCCACCGCGATGTGAAGGTATGTGTGTGTGCTGTGCTGTGCCAACATGCATACTTGCTCTCCTGTGTCAACATGCATACTTGCTCTCCTGTGTCAACATGCATACTTGCTCTCCTGTGTCAACATGCATACTTGCTCTCCTGTGTCAACATGCATACTTGCTCTCCTGTGTCAACATGCATACTTGCTCTCCTGTGTCAACATGCATACTTGCTCTCCTGTGTCAACATGCATACTTGCTCTCCTGTGCCAACATGCATACTTGCTCTCCTGTGTCAACATGCATACTTGCTCTCCTGTGTCAACATGCATACTTGCTCTCCTGTGTCAACATGCATACTTGCTCTCCTGTGTCAACATGCATACTTGCTCTCCTGTGTCAACATGCATACTTGCTCTCCTGTGTCAACATGCATACTTGCTCTCCTGTGTCAACATGCATACTTGCTCTCCTGTGTCAACATGCATACTTGCTCTCCTGTGTCAACATGCATACTTGCTCTCCTGTGTCAACATGCATACTTGCTCTCCTGTGTCAACATGCATACTTGCTCTCCTGTGTCAACATGCATACTTGCTCTCCTGTGTCAACATGCATACTTGCTCTCCTGTGTCAACATGCATACTTGCTCTCCTGTGTCAACATGCATACTTGCTCTCCTGTGTCAACATGCATACTTGCTCTCCTGTGTCAACATGCATACTTGCTCTCCTGTGTCAACATGCATACTTGCTCTCCTGTGTCAACATGCATACTTGCTCTCCTGTGTCAACATGCATACTTGCTCTCCTGTGTCAACATGCATACTTGCTCTCCTGTGTCAACATGCATACTTGCTCTCCTGTGTCAACATGCATACTTGCTCTCCTGTGTCAACATGCATACTTGCTCTCCTGTGTCAACATGCATACTTGCTCTCCTGTGTCCAACATGCATACTTGCTCTCCTGTGTCAACATGCATACTTGCTCTCCTGTGTCAACATGCATACTTGCTCTCCTGTGTCAACATGCATACTTGCTCTCCTGTGTCAACATGCATACTTGCTCTCCTGTGTCAACATGCATACTTGCTCTCCTGTGTCAACATGCATACTTGCTCTCCTGTGTCAACATGCATACTTGCTCTCCTGTGTCAACATGCATACTTGCTCTCCTGTGTCAACATGCATACTTGCTCTCCTGTGTCAACATGCATACTTGCTCTCCTGTGTCAACATGCATACTTGCTCTCCTGTGTCAACATGCATTCCTCCTGTGTCAACATGCATACTTGCTCTCCTGTGTCAACATGCATACTTGCATGCTCATTTGTGCTTGACCTGTTCATGCAAGCCGGTTTGCATCACCTGCAGCATCAGATCAAGCTGCCCATCATCCACCGTGATGTGAAGTAGGGAGAGGGAGGGTCAACTAGTGTTGGAACATGCATGCATGCTATGCTCATGTGTGCAAGTGAGCAAGAGTAAATCGTCTGTGGCACAACAAGTAGGCTTGCGTACCTGCACCATCAGATCAAGCCACCCCCATTATCGCCGCGTGAAGGAAGGGAGAGAGTGATGGCGTGTGTTGGAACATGCATGCGTGCCTTGAGTCGACTCAAAACACGACTCATTACATAGGGAGAGAGTGATGGTGTGTGTTGGAACATGCATGCGTGCTCATATGTGTGGTCGTGGCAGCCAGTGGGATTACATAGGAGCATCAATGATCGCGATGTGAAGGTAGGGGGGGAGTCTCTGTGTGAGCGTGCGTGTGTGTGCATATACTTGCACACGAACGTGTGCGGGCGGGCATACATGCGTGCTAATGCTTGTGTGCGTGGGGCGTGTGCATGTGTGCGGTGCACACATGCCCACAACGCAATGTCCCACGCACATGAGCTTGTTTCCAAGTTGGCATGGCCGACAACCACTTGGGTGGCCCACCATACAAACCCCCCCCTTCTTCCCCACCCACACTAGACGGACAACTTCCTCATCACAGCAGGCCTCAAAGCGAAGATGGCTGAACTTTGCATCTCCATGGCTGACCTTTGCATCTCCATGGCTGACCTTTGCATCTCCATGGCTGACCTTTGCATCTCCATGGCTGAACTTTGCATCTCCATGGCTGACCTTTGCATCTCCATGGCTGACCTTTGCATCTCCATGGCTGACCTTTGCATCTCCATGGCTGACCTTTGCATCTCCATGGCTGACCTTTGCATCTCCATGGCTGACCTTTGCATCTCCATGGCTACTGACCTTTGCACCTCCATGGCTGACCTTTGCATCTCCATGGCTGAACTTTGCATCTCCATGGCTGACCTTTGCATCTCCATGGCTGACCTTTGCATCTCCATGGCTGACCTTTGCATCTCCATGGCTGACCTTTGCATCTCCATGGCTGACCTTTGCATCTCCATGGCTGAACTTTGCATCTCCATGGCTGACCTTTGCATCTCCATGGCTGACCTTTGCATCTCCATGGCTGACCTTTTCATCTCCATGGCTGACCTTTGCATCTCCATGGCTGACCTTTGCATCTCCATGGCTGCTGACCTTTGCATCTCCATGGCTGACCTTTGCATCTCCATGGCTGACCTTTGCATCTCCATGGCTGACCTTTGCATCTCCATGGCTGACCTTTGCATCTCCATGGCTGACCTTTGCATCTCCATGGCTGCTGACCTTTGCATCTCCATGGCTGACCTTTGCATCTCCATGGCTGACCTTTGCATCTCCATGGCTGACCTTTGCATCTCCATGGCTGACCTTTGCATCTCCATGGCTGACCTTTGCATCTCCATGGCTGACCTTTGCATCTCCATGGCTGCTGACCTTTGCATCTCCATGGCTGACCTTTGCATCTCCATGGCTGAGCGAAAATATCTCCTGTACCTCTCCCCCTTCCCCTTTGCCCCCTCCCCGGCCTCTAAATCATGCCCCCCCCCCCTCCCACCACCAGACGGCCAACATCCTTATCGCAGCAGGCCTCGAGGCGAAGGTGGCTGAGTTTGGTATCTCCAAGGCTGTCAGCATGTGTATGCCCCCCTTGCCACCATTATTTCGTCTCTCCCTTGCTCATTCCCTTCCCCCCCTCCCTTCCCCCACCAGACGGCCAACATCCTGATCACAGCAGGCCTCGAGGCGAAGGTGGCCGACTTTGGCATTTCCAAGGCGGTCCCTGAGGAGGTGGAGAAGGGGGGGAGGCTGGACACGCAAGTGAAGGGGACTGTGGTGAGTGCAGAGATGAGGAAGGCGATTTCAGGGGGTGGGAGTGGTGTGGGCGCAGGACGAAATCGTGAGTGGAATGTTTAGGGCTTTGCCAGAGGAGGTGGGGAGGAGGGGGGGAGGCTGAACACGCTAGTGAAGGGGACTGTGGTGAGTGGAATTGGGAGAGTGGTGCTTATCAAATGGGAAGCATACCCACTCGATCGTTTTTTCCTTTCTTTTCTTTTCTTCTTTTTTTGGGCCATCAATCTACACATCAATGAACGGTTTGTTGTTTTCCTCCTTTTCTCTCCCCACTTGCCGTGCCCAGGGCTATTTGGACCCACAGTATTTTCAATGCGATTTACTCACGGAAAAGAGTGACGTGTACAGTTTCGGCATCGTGCTTCTAGAGCTAGCCACAGGTCTCCGCCCCGTGACCAACGGGGAACATATCCGATCTATCGTGATCGATAGGGTTACCAACCACGGCGGCGTGTACAGTGTCATGGACCCTGTATTGAAAGCCTTGTGGGAGAGACAGCAGAAGGGGGATGGGGAGAGCGGGGAGCGGGGGGGAGCGGTAGCGGGAGGGGGAGCAAGAGGAGGAGGGGGGGGAGGTAACAGTGGAAATGGGGAAAGAGAGATGGGTGAGAACGAGCATCTGGAGGAGACGTGTGGGAGCGAGGCTCTGCAGGAGACGTTTGAGTGGTTCTTGCGGCTGGGGATGCGGTGCAGCCTCAAGCAGGCACAGAGCCGACCCGGCATGCAGCAAGTGTTGAAAGAGCTGGAGGGGATCAGGCGGATGCTCAACTGTGTTTCTGGCTCCTATAGGGGCAGTGGTGCTGCTGCTGGTGCTGGTTCTGGTGCTGGTGCTGGTGATGGTGCTGGTGGTGACGGTAGCAGAAGGCGTGACTATAGCGAGCAGTCCAATGGGGAGAGGGGGGGGTCCATCGGTGCAGTTAATTCCCAAGCTGGTCGATCCTTCTGGGCAGAGATCGTAGCCTCGGCGTCGAAAGGGCCGAGCAGGTTCAAGGAGGAGATTGCGGAGGAGATCGATGAGGACGAAGAGGAGTCGTGGTTTGCTGAGCGGATGAGGAGGGGGGTGAAGGGGGACGTAGGGAAGGGAGAGACGTCAAGCAGTGAGGCGGATGGGCTGCTGAACCACACGCTGACTTTCACCGGAAGTGAGCCACAGATCAAAGTGGTTCCGAGATGAACAGGGAGTGGGGGTGGAAGGGGTTTTTGGTTGTATGGGGGAGTGTCAAGCAGCGATGGGGATTGACTGTTGAACCGCGCGCTGACTTTCACCAGGAGTGAGCCGCACACCAAGGTGGTTCCGAGATGAAAAAAAGTGGGGTGGGGTGGGAGGAGTGGTGGGGGGGGCAGTATGGGGAATGCCAAGCAGCGACGGGGATAGGCTGACCTGAACCACACGGTGACCTTCACTGGCACTGAGGCGCACATCGAGGTGGCTCCTTGATGCAATAAGAGGAGGGATGGACGGACGTTAAGCCGCAAGTGTGTTTTGAGTCGACTCAAAACACACCTGGAGATGTGGTGGCTGTGCCACGCAGTGGCTTTCATCGGGCGGGAGTGTCCCGCAGATCGACGTGGTTCCTGGATGAACAGGGGAAGGGGGGGCAGGATGGGGGGAACGCAAGCAGAATTGGGGATGGGTTGCTGAGCCACGCGGTGGCTTTCACTGGGAATGCACTGCACATTGAGGTGATTCTTATAAACTGAGGTAAGAGAGAATGATGGATTAGGGTAAGGTAAGGGGAGAGGGGTACTTGAAGGACATCGAGAGTATTTTTTGTACCCCGTAGGATGCAACTCACTACAGCGTAGATAATATGTATAACATATCGTACAAGAGGAGTTGTGGCACGCGGGCAGGCACCAGCCACCCTCATTGCCCAACTACACCTGCCGCAGCTCTCGTTTATGCTTCTGCACTGCACGTAGGTGTATGCTATGTGCTAATTTCACCATTTGTTCAACCCTATATCATCGTTCGCGTCAATTTGGTTGTGCTTCACATCGCGCATGTGCCTGAGGGTAAGGTCCTCGGAGCCATTTGTGGCCCCTTTATCTGTGTTACAACCGGAGTCCCAAACAGCCCGAAACTGCCTCAACCTTCCTAACTTCGGTTGGGCGACGTCAGGTTATACATTTCTCAGGGGTTTACAGTTCTTGTATCGTGGTTCAAGACGGTCCAAAGCGGTTCTTGACGTTTACCGCTCTGCACCGTGTTGAAACGAAGTTAACCGCAGTGGGCGTACAAGAAGTTGTACAACCTAACGTCGCCCTAACCTAATCACATCACATCCACCCGAGATTGAAAGCGGTAAAACATTTTGAAACAAGTTCCCATAAGCTTCAACGCAAACACATCTTATAAGCCTCAAGGGGGATATTAACAACAAAAAGGCCAAAAAGATGCGGTATAAACCCCTAAGGCCGTCTGTCTGGGTGAATACAGTAACCCTTAGTATAGCATATCAGCACCATAAGATAGTAAGGGAAATATGGTGATGTCTCAAGCTACCGTATACGGCTTCATGAAAGTGAGCCTCAACAAATGACCTACAAGAGTTCTGGAAAGAGGTCATCCCACCAATGAGCACTCTGAAGCCTCTCTTTGCCTTCCTGCTCCGGTCTGCCACTGCATGCATCCCTACCCGGGCTTGTGCCCAGAAAATCATCAAAATGCATGAAGCAGCTGATGCTCTCGCTCCCATCCACACTATGTGCCTTACTGAGTTGTGCCTTACTGAGTCCAATCTCCTCCAAAAACACCTCTTTCCCCGCCTCTTCATGCATGCTCCACTCGCTTTCTGCCACGCTGCTCCTACCAGACCCAGCGAGCTGATTGCTTGTCTCGAACATGTCACGATGGAACGCCGCAGAGATGAGGGCTCGGCTGCAGGGCTTTAAGTCAGAGACTGATGACAGAGGAAAGGTTTCTCCTTGAGGAGAAGGATGCAGGGAAGTGAAAGGGTTGACAGGGAAGGCAGAGGAAGGGTCAAGCAGAACTGAATCTTGCCCGTGTGCATGCTGCTGTGCCTGCTGCTGTGCGTCCTTCTGAGCCTCCCACTGTGACTCTTCCTGTTGCTGCCTATCTGTCCCCTCTCGGTTCGGTGCCTGCTGCTTCAGAGGCGACTCAGAAGCTTTCTCCCACCGCTCCTGCAGCTGCTGCACCTCCCAACCCAGCTCCTCTTTAACGTTCACCTGTGTGTCATACACGACTGCAGAACCTCTGTTCCCTTGGGCCGTTGATTGGAGATACGCCTTTTGTTGACGAGCAGATCCGCGGCGTTGGATTTGTGTTGCACAGAATCCACTCTGCTGTAGCATGTGCTTATCAGGTGATTCAGCTTCAGGAGATTGCAACAGAGCTAGGTATCCCGTGGTTTCCTCCACTGCTGGGCTGCAGTGAATAAATATTTCCCGGACTTGTGATGATGGAGGGATGGAGGACGCGCAATAAGGGACGGGAGATGGGCATGGAAAATCTGCAGCAGGTGCTTGCTGGGTAGTTGTAGTAGACCAAGAAGCGTTCGGTTCTGATGGTTCTGGGTAGGTTAGAAGTGCAGCAGATGGGTGGAGAGGGGTATTGCAAGTACACTGTGGGTCTGAGCAATGGTGGGGCTGCTGCTGGGAAGTGTAACACAGATGGTGGTGTGGAATTGGGGGGGGCTGAAGGGAAGGGTGAAGGGAGGGATGCTGTGGAGGGCGGTGGTAGGCAGAGGGAGGGGTTGTGTGGGGGGAAGTGGGAGGGGCAGTGGGAATGGCAGTGTGAGGGGCAGTGGGAGGGGCAGTGTGAAGGGCAGTGTGAGGGGCAGTGGGAGGGGCAGTGTGAAGGGCAGTGTGAGGGGCAGTGGTAGGAGTAGCGTGAGGAGCAGTGAGAGGAGCAGTAAAAGGGGCAGGATGAGGGACAGTGGGATGGGAACAGGGGGACGGAGGGTGGGGAGTGGGAGGGTGAGTCGCAAGGATTGCGGGACAATGCTGGCTGATGCGCAGAAGAGGAGGATGCGAGCGGGTGCATGCTTGCTGGGGCACAACTGGTGCATGCTGTGGCACCTGAAGCAACATCTGATGTGGTGTCGTCTGTTGCACCTGGGGTGCCACTGGTGGCGACACCTGGAGTGGGCCCTGTGGCTGCTGCTGCTGCTGCTGCTGCTGCTGCTGGAGTGGCGGTTGCTTCGCTTGCGGCTGCTGCTGTTGTTCCTGCTGCTTGTGCCGTGCTTTCTTTGACTTCGGCCCACCTGCTTCGGCTGCACCCAGCTGCCGCTTCTGCTTCTGCTCCCTCCACCGCTTGGCATGGGCAAACACGAGCATGCACCAGCTGTGCAAGGGGGTGGAATGGGGTGGAGTGGGGTGGGACGAAATAGAGAAGATAACACAGGGTTTAGGGATTCTGGGTTTCGTGTTACAGTTGAGGAGCAGGAGGAGCAGCAGCAGCAGCAGCAGCAGCAGCAGCAGGAGGAGGAGGAGGAGGAGGAGGAGGAGGAGGAGGAGGAGGAGGAGGAGGAGGAGGAGGATGAGGAGAGGAGGAGGAGGATGGGTTGGGGAGGGGGAGGAAAAGTCGAGGAGTAAGGAATAGAAGGGACCTGGAGACAAGGAAGTACCTTAGAGACGGAAACGAAAGGCACGGAAAGGCACCAACAATGGAGTGGTACAGAAACTATCCAATCATAGAGGGTACTGAGGGGGCACCAGAAAGCGGACTCTGACGAGGCATGTATGCGAGGGAAGAGGGAAGGCAAGCATGCATGTATGCAAGGGAAGAGGGAAGGCAAGCATGCATGTATGCAAGGGAAGAGGGAAGGCAAGCATGCATGTATGCCATACCTGATGGCCTTGTTGTGCTCGTCCAGACACTTCCTGCTGTCCGCCCGATCACTGGATGACTCAGCTACCTGCCCCGCCTTCGTAGTAGCACCCGCTGCAAGCGGCGACGAATCGGTTGACGAGGCCGCTGAAGCCGGCCCTGCAGCACCAGCAGGGGTGGAACCGGTAGGGCTGACACCAGCAGTGGAGCCTCGAGGAGAGGCGCAGGTGGATGCCTGCATGGGAGTGCTGTCAGTCTCCCGCCCTGCCTCCATCCCTGCTCCAGCAGGCGCGGCGCCCGGGAGACACGCGCTGGTGGAAGAAGCAGTCCTCCTCAGCGGGGGATTGCCCTCCGCCTTCCCTGCTGATGCCGCCTCACGTTGATCGTCCTTCGCACCAGTAGCGGCTCGAACACGGTCAGAAGAGGCAGGGTTACCGGAAGTAGTAGGGTTACCAGATGTGGTAGGGTTACCAGCGCCATCAGAGGCACCATTGTTGCCGGCATCAGGGACGACGCCTTCAGGGTTGCCGTCCTCGGCGGCCATTTCAGCAGCGGAGGAGTGCAGGCAGCGCATGATCTCGTGCACGGGCATGGGCGGCACAGGGAAGTCCATCATTGACTCTTCTGAGTCAAACGGGTCGTCCGAGTCAACGCCGCCGCCCAGGCCGCAGCCACTCATGATGCTGGGGACGGTACTGGCGTCGGGAGTGGTGCTGGTGGAGTCTGCTTTGTTGGCGTCTTGTATGAACTTTCTGGAGAATGTAACAAAGAAAAGGAGCATGGTTGGGTGGGTGAGAAAAGTGAGAGTGGAATTTAGACAAAGAGTCTGCATGACCTTGGGAGGAGTGAGAGTTAGAAAGTAGGTTTTCTGTGAGGGCCGCATGTGGCGATCACTATTCCTTATATCTTCTTCGTCTTCTGTCGATTGAGTCGGCCAATGTGAGCAGTTGTATTATCCGCATGTGATGATTGCTCCCAACGAATCAACGACATGTCTTTAGAACATCCATAAAATGTGCCAACAAAACTATATTTTTTTGCTGCACAGAATATTCAACAACGTTGCAAACACCATATCCTTTTCCTCACCTCTTTAGGAGCAAGAATCGGTTACAGCAAGCCTTGCTGTCTCGATGACGTCCCAGCGTATTGCTCTGTTGAAGCAACGCCCATTGCGACGTGCCATTGTACAGCACATGCTCGAGAAGTATCTTGTCCTCCTGGAGGGGAAAATAGGAAATAATAGTAAGCAGCTGTAAGCGGCTGCTTGCTTTAATGATGAGCCACAGAAGGCTAATGAAAAAAAGTGACATTGTATTTTATGGCAATGTCGTGAGCTAAATGTAGTTAGAATGCCAATTGCGACAACACACCTCCGAACTCCACCGTGCCGCGTACGTTCTGCCCGTTGTGTTACCGCGACTACCCATTTCGATCCAGCTGTCGTCCAGCCGAAGCGCTTCGCAAGATGGTGTCTATTGCTTCGTCGCCCGTCGCCACCACTCGTCCACCGCGCAGTAACAAGAGGCGACTAGCGGCGCGACGATTCAATTTCCCCCGCGACAACGGCTCCGGTAAAAGCAACTTGCGAAGGTCGCACGGGCGGCAAGTTCAGGTTCAAACACTTCCCCCTCACACGCCCAATTGCTCAACCGCTCAGCTGCTGTTTCCGTTGCTGATTACTCGGTTTCTCATGCTCTGTTGCTCGTTGCTCCAGTTCTTGTTCTGCGGCTCGCAGCTCAGATGCTCGATACGACAAAGTCTCTGCTAGCGAGTAGAATGCATCTCCTGATGAAATAGGTTGTCTCAAGGAACGCGCGAGAATCTCTAATACGCGCCGCGAGACCCAGATTAAAATGCTTGAAAAAACGGCGGCATTCCAGGGAGACCGATATTGCGTCGCAGATCGTAGCGACGGAATTATGCTATCCGCTCAACACCGAAAGCCTTCTCCCAACAATGCGGGGACTAGAAATCAGTAGAGACGTTTCGCCGCCTTGTAAGTAGTGCAACCCGTGGCGATCTCCCAAATTCTCGGGGCAAACTCCGCGCTCAATCTTCGACCCTTGGATCAGTGGGAAGGCCAGCAGCAGCTCATGACAGTCGTCGACCGACAAAGCTTTTGAGGCACCTAAGAAAATGCGGCGTCGTAACATTCAGCGCCACAACTTGAAGCAGACCACGTGAGGGCCAGGCTTAGCAAACAGCGTTCAAGCTCTAGAACCCACGGTTAACTGAAAGAACTGCTCCCAACTGAGCTCCGCACCTGACACAATGATGATCGCCGAAGCACAGTGCAGCTTCCGCAGCTTCCGATGAAGCCTCCACTCCAATAGGAGTCCGACTCTCCTAGGGTTTGATCCGAGCCTTGCGCGGGTATCCGTTGTGTCTCTTCCTTCGCGTGAAATTGCCCCTTTTCCTATCTCCCTTGCCCTGTGGCTCTCCTCGCTGTGACGGCCGCTACTTGCGCTTCACATGCTATCTCAATGCTGCTCCCCGTGCCGGTGAATGGGGGGATGCTGTGTCCACCTGCTGCACTAGGCCGATGGACAGGGGGGGGATGGGCAGGAGTGAGAGCCCGAGATTGCGGAACGTTGTGGAGGACGGATCGCGGACTTGAAATATCTCCGAGTGGCCCAATTCGCCGTTTTTGTGTTGCACAAATGCGGCGGGATCCTAGATCTCATGGACAAGGAATGCCAGCCAAGTTGACTGTGCTTCACGGAAACACCCAAAGAGGGTTCGGGGGAGAAGAGAGGCGAAAGGCAGGGAGGTGGAGATGAACTGACGTGGGCAGCGCCACCTGGCGCAGGCTGATTGGCCTAATCCGCCGCTATTTGACCTTTCGCATTGCTGTAAAGTCAGGAAGCAACAGCGCGGAGAGCCTGCCACAGGCTGTCGACGGTCGAGCGGAATGCGCCGATGAGGCGGAGGTTCTGGAAGGCCTTGGGGCTCCGATCGGCGAGGCAAGTGATTTGTGTGAGCAAGCGGAACGGTCGGGGAGCCAAGTTGCTCTAAGCTTCGTGCTAATGTGGGAAGCAGTAGCTTCGGCAACTTTCTGTAACCCGCTCAGTGTTGTTCGCGACGCACGCTGCACCGTGTGCCACTGTTCGTGGCGACATGTACAGAACCGTGCTGGAGGAGGCCTTTCTACTGGCTGGAAGCGCGGTGCGCGGAAATCATCGGTAGGTTGCCCGGCAGTTAAACAGCAGACAATCGTCAAGTGCATGTGTGAGGGAACTGGGAGCAATTCATCACGTCTGGGAGAGGCGAGGCGAAGGAAAGAGGAGTACAGCAGTGGTGTGAGTGAGGTAAGCAGCTTAGGCGGAGGGGGGTGGAAGTGCCTAGAGTGTGGAGTGCAGATTGTCGCAGCGTTGTGAGCGTTTGACATTGCTTGCTTGTGGCAAACTGACCACAAGGAAATCTCGCCACTAACGAACGGAGGATGGCTTTGCGTGTCGTTTTGTAGGGTTCTGTTACCTGGTGCGCCACTACAGTAACGTGGGAACAACTTCTCGAAAGCACTTTTGCTGCCCTGCTAAGGTCGTATCCCTGGCTAGTGTCCAGTGCGGTTAGTGTCATGACGCTATCTGGGAAAACGCATGGAGGACTAGTCCTCCTGGTGTCAGCTAAACCGACCAATCTGATTGCGGGAAATTGCCCAATGTGCCCAACATTGACACCAGGCTGGAGCCGCGTGCGGGTGCGGGTGTTAAGCGAATATCCTGCTTGACACCAACAGTAGCTTGATACTAGCCAGGGATACGACCTAGCTAGCAATATAATCCGTGGGCATTTTTGTATCTACTAGCCTTGCTTTCGTTTGTCTCTGTCCATCACGCCATGCCTTACAAATGCATGCCGCCACCCTTCTGCTTGCACCCATCTTGCTTGTACACGTACTGTGAGGAGATTACGCTTAGCAACAAACTCGTTTTCCTTTTCCCCAAGTGCGAGGGTGAACGAACCAAGCGAAAAACGTGAACACAATATTCCTGGATGGCAAATCCAGAGATTGGACGGGGGAAAATCCGCTGAGACGAAGAGAACTTTTGTCCTAGAAAGGAATGGAAGACTGGACGAGGCGCGATGCAAAACCACGTCAGCACCAGCGTTCTTGCCCCTCGCAAGCGCAGCGCGCGCGAATTTCCAGTGCCGCACTGGCGAAAAACGAGCGTCCCGATGCAATGGAAGTGGTGGAGCTCGAGGGGATGACTCGCTATGTGCATCTTCTTTTCCCGTTTTTTTTCACAGACCTGCTGATAGTAACATGATATATTCTCAAGGAATTACTCATTTGAGAGCATTCCCTTTTTGTGTTTGAATGCTAGTACAGTTCTCCTTTATAGAAAGAACCTTCGTACCTAATTTACACGATATGAAAGGGTTGAGATTTGACATTTTCAGCACTTGTACTGGGGGCAATAATAGTCAAGAAAGGCAGACACAAAATGCATTTTCTCTGTTATCCATCCAAAGTTCCCGTAGATTGGGGTATCCCGTGCAAAACGGGGGAAAACAACAATAAAAGGTCAACAAACAAGTCAGAAATGATGTTTCGGACCCCTCCTAGGCAAGTAGGATGAAAGATACACTTCATCCTCTCCTACACCTCCCAAATCATCCGACTCATCACCAAGATATTTGTCCTCATCTCCAACATCCCTATCCGCCACGTCACCACCTACACCGTCATAATTCCCCACATTATCGCCAGCACCGGTATCGTCATCTGCATCAAGATCCACGTCAGCAGAAAAGGCACCAGCACCTGCCACATCAGCAGCACCAGTGTCCTCATCCACCTGACCTGGAGTCGCCACGTCAGCAGAAATATCTCCAGCGACCAGAGCAGCAATAGCCGTGTCGTCAGCATCAGCAGGGTTACCAGCAGCGTTACGAGCAACAGATGCACCAGTAGGGTTACCAGCAGTGGGGGTTTCAAGGAGCTCCACCTGGGGTTCAAAGGCAGGCCAGTCCTTGCGCAGCCTGCAGGGGAAGGGAGGAAGGAGGTAGGGAAAGATGCACCAGGGGGGATCAGCAGCAGTGTTACCAGCAGCGGATGTACCAGGGGCGGTCTGAAGGAGCTCCACCTGCGGTTCAAAGGCAGGCCAGTCCTTGCGAGGCCTGCCCGGGATCTGAGAAGCTCGGGAGAAAACAAAAGAAACTGAAAGGAGCTAAAGAAGTGCTTTTGAGTTTCGCTGAAAGAGAGGCGCATGCAGGCCAATGCTGCGAGGCTTGCAGTTGTGGGAAGAGACGGCCAGCAGCTTCATCTCCCCACTCGAGCTATCCCGCCCATAACCCTACCTGCCCATCGTCCTCCGGTGGATTCTCCAACCCTGCCTCGCCCAGCCAGACTCCGCCCTCACCTTCTAGGCCAGAGCTGTGGTGCCCACTGGTGCAGGTGGGAGGCAGCTACTGTCAATCAAGGGCGAGAGGGGCCAGCATGACCTGTGCCCTGCGTCTAGCTTTTGAGGCGCCTCAAAAGTCGAGAGGGGCCAGCATGACCTGTGCCCTGCGTCTAGCTTTCGAGGCGCCTCACAAGTCGAGAGGGGCCAGCATGACCTGTGCCCTGCGTCTAGCTTTTGAGGCGCCTCAAAAGTCGAGAGGGGCCAGCATGACCTGTGCCCTGCGTCTAGCTTTTGAGGCGCCTCAAAAGTCGAGAGGGGCCAGCATGACCTGTGCCCTGCGTCTAGCTTTTGAGGTGCCTCAAAAGTCGAGAGGGGCCAGCATGACCTGTGCCCTGCGTCTAGCTTTTGAGGCGCCTCAAAAGTCGAGAGGGGCCAGCATGACCTGTGCCCTGCGTCTAGCTTTTGAGGCGCCTCAAAAGTCGAGAGGGGCCAGCATGACCTGTGCCCTGCGTCTAGCTTTTGAGGCGCCTCAAAAGTCGAGAGGGGCCAGCATGACCTGTGCCCTGCGTCTAGCTTTCGAGGCGCCTCAAAAGTCGAGAGGGGCCAGCATGACCTGTGCCCTGCGTCTAGCTTTTGAGGCGCCTCAAAAGTCGAGAGGGGCCAGCATGACCTGTGCCCTGCGTCTAGCTTTCGAGGCGCCTCAAAAGTCGAGAGGGGCCAGCATGACCTGTGCCCTGCGTCTAGCTTTTGAGGCGCCTCAAAAGTCGAGAGGGGCCAGCATGACCTGTGCCCTGCGTCTAGCTTTTGAGGCACCTCAAAAGTCGAGAGGGGCCAGCATGACCTGTGCCCTGCGTCTAGCTTTTGAGGCACCTCAAAAGTCGAGAGGGGCCAGCATGACCTGTGCCCTGCGTCTAGCTTTTGAGGCGCCTCAAAAGTCGAGAGGGGCCAGCATGACCTGTGCCCTGCGTCTAGCTTTTGAGGTGCCTCAAAAGTCGAGAGGGGCCAGCATGACCTGTGCCCTGCGTCTAGCTTTTGAGGCGCCTCAAAAGTCGAGAGGGGCCAGCATGACCTGTGCCCTGCGTCTAGCTTTTGAGGCGCCTCAAAAGTCGAGAGGGGCCAGCATGACCTGTGCCCTGCGTCTAGCTTTTGAGGCGCCTCAAAAGTCGAGAGGGGCCAGCATGACCTGTGCCCTGCGTCTAGCTTTCGAGGCGCCTCAAAAGTCGAGAGGGGCCAGCATGACCTGTGCCCTGCGTCTAGCTTTTGAGGCGCCTCAAAAGTCGAGAGGGGCCAGCATGACCTGTGCCCTGCGTCTAGCTTTCGAGGCGCCTCAAAAGTCGAGAGGGGCCAGCATGACCTGTGCCCTGCGTCTAGCTTTTGAGGCGCCTCAAAAGTCGAGAGGGGCCAGCATGACCTGTGCCCTGCGTCTAGCTTTTGAGGCACCTCAAAAGTCGAGAGGGGCCAGCATGACCTGTGCCCTGCGTCTAGCTTTTGAGGCACCTCAAAAGTCGAGAGGGGCCAGCATGACCTGTGCCCTGCGTCTAGCTTTTGAGGCACCTCAAAAGTCGAGAGGGGTCAGCATGACCTGTGCCCTGCGTCTAGTGTGCATTCTCCACCCACCTTCTCACGCTGATGCGCCCGTCTGCTCTCCGCATGAAGGCTAGCGTCGTGGTGCCCACGGGTGGGGTGGGAGCGGCAGCTGCTGCTGTGGCCTTTAGGCTGGAAGGGGATGAGAGGGAGGGAGAGCGTGGCAAGGAGAAAGGCAGAAACGAACTTGAAGGCCAGAGCGGTGGTACCCACTGGTGGGCCGGGAGGGACCGCTGCTGCTGTGGTCTTTGGGCTTAAGGAGAGGGGTAAGAGGGGGATGTGTGTGTGACAAGGAGAGGAAGAGGAGAAAGGCAGAAACGAACTTGAAGGCCAGAGCGGTGGTACCCACTGGTGGGCCGGGAGGGACCGCTGCTGCTGTGGTCTTTGGGCTGAAGGAGAGGGGTAAGAGGGGGATGTGTGTGTGACAAGGAGAGGAAGAGGAGAAAGGCAGAAACGAACTTGAAGGCCAGAGCGGTGGTACCCACTGGTGGGCCGGGAGGGACCGCTGCTGCTGTGGTCTTTGGGCTGAAGGAGAGGGGTAAGAGGGGGATGTGTGTGTGATAAGGAGGAAGGCAGAAACGAGCATGAAGGCCAGAGCCGTGGTGCCAAATGGTGGGGAGGGAGGGGCTGAAGGGCAGAAGAGAAGAGTGAAGGGAGCGAAGAGCGGCGCGAAGGGGAGAGGAAGAGGGGAAACGACAGTCGAGCGTGAAGGCCAGAGAGCCATGGTGCAAAGTGGAGGGGCCTCGGAGGGAGGGTGTGTGTGACAAGGGGAGCAACGGGGAGGAAGAGGGGAAAGCTACGGTCGAGCATAAAGGCCAGAGCTGTTGGGAGAGGAAGGAGAACGGAGAGGAGAAGGCGAAACAGGCACACCATTTCTAGCTCTGCTCCTACCTCGCCTTTTCATCTCTCATTCCAGGCTTAAGCACCCCACTCCCCACCCACCCACCCAACCCCGTGCTAATCCCTCTCGCCACTCCCACATTCACCCCCATCTCCCCTCCCCTTCCCCCACCCACTCACTCGGCATTCCCCCCGCCCCCCTCCCACTCACTCGGCATTCTCCCCGCCCCCCTCCCACTCACTCGGCATTCCCCCCGCCCCCCTCCCACTCACTCGGCATTCCCCCCGCCCCCCTCCCACTCACTCGGCATTCCCCCCGCGCTCCCTCCTTGGCCGCTTGGAGGAGCGCGTCTCCTTAGAAGCGAGCATCTGGCGGGCCAGCTGGTGGGGGGCAAGGGGGGGGAAGAGGGGAGAGAGACGCGAGGGTGGGTGGACGGGTGAAGCGTGGGTGACTTGAACTCGCTTGGAGGAGCGCGGCTCCTTAGAAGCGAGCATCTGGCGGGCGAGTTGGTGGGGGATGGATTATGGACGTGGGCAGAAAGAGGGAGAGTTAGCAGGTTACGTGGGTGCAAGAACCCTGGGTGGGAGGGTGAACTGCCTTCTCGGCCGCTTGGAGGAGCGCGTCTCCTTAGAAGCAAGCATCTGGCGGGCGAGCTGACGCGGGCAGGCCAGGCAGGGGGTGGGGTTGTGGCCACACCAGAAAGAGGAGGGGAGCAGCAGGAACGTGGGTAAAGGAAATGTGAAAAAAAAAAAAAAAAAATCAACTCTTGGAGGAAAGGAACGTGGGAGAGCAGAGAGCGGAGAGCAGAGAGCAGAGAGCGGAGAGCAGAGAGCAGAGAGCGGAGAGCAGAGAGCAGAGAGCAGAGAGCAGAGAGCGGAGAGCAGAGAGCAGGAAAGGAGGTAACAGTGGGAGAAGAGTGGAGGGAGGAGAGAGAGTAGGAGGAGGGGTTGAGGATAAGAGTTGGGAGAAACGGGCAGAACTAGGGCAAGTATGATATGCGAGCTTCATTTCTCTGGCCAAGAATATCGATATAATAATGATGACCGAAATTGAGTGAGCATTCTTGGACAAGGAACCATAACTTAGAAATTGGATAAGCGGACAAAATGAGAAACAGGAACACTCCGCCCACCTCTAGCAATTGCTCTCGCAGAGTCACTGCAACCCAGACCTGCAAGGGGGGCGGCGGGCAAGGGAGGAGTTGAGGAATGAGGGGATTAAGATGCTGCTGAGGATGCATTACCTGAGAGCGTGGCATTACCTGAGAGCGTGGCATTACCTGAGAGCGTGGCATTACCTGAGAGCGTGGAATTACCTGAGAGCGTGGAATTACCTGAGAGCGTGGCATTGCCTTTTGAGACGTCTCAAAAGCCATTAAGACGTCTCAAAAGCCATTACTTGAGAGCGTGTCATTGCCTTGCCAGCACATAACACAAGAGTACAGGAGTGCAGAGAGCGGGTGTGAGGCATTAGACTGCAGGCTACTTTCACAATGAACACAAGCGCAAGAGCACACTTTACGTCCACATGCAGTAAACAGATGCAGGCAGATGCAACACACACTAGTGCACTCAAAAGGGGCACAAGGCGTTGACATACTTGAGAGATCTCTTTTGAGTTACCAATAGCCAAAAGCAAAGATACCTATAGGCATGAGCAAAGAGCTGAACCGCAGTTCGGTTCGGTAATTTGCTCATGCCTAGATACCCATAAGCCGTTGACATAATGGTATCTCCACGTAAGAAGTTCATCACCACAGACAGGCTGGGGCTTCAAGTACAAAAATTGTTTGTCAGGTCAAATTTTCTCAGCAATTATGCTACCTGTGCTTGTGGGTCGGCATCGGTAATCCCAAGATCAGAGCAAAGGCCAGCAGCATAGGCCTCGGGATCCGCGTATGGGTTGTTCAAATCCTGCCAAGAGGTGAGGGTTGGGGTGGGAGCGGCGATAGCCGAAGGATGAGGATGGATTTAAACATGAAGTGTTTGTTGCTACAGTGAGAGATGATAACCAGACGAATGAAATTGCAACCATCAACAAAAGTGACGTGGAGGGTATGTACGATGGAAACGACCTATTAAGTTGACTTTTGAGTCGACTCAAAAGTCAACTCGAAATGACTTGACCTATTGAGTTATTTCCATCGTGCACGAGTGCGTGTACGGCCTAAGTTCAATGAGTTCCTCCCTCCATGAGCTATTTTTTCTGGCTACTCACAAGAATTGGCCATTCTTGGCAGGGCAGGGCAGTGGCTTACCCACAAGAATTGGTCTCGAATGATGCATGTGGTTGTACACACATCCAGCTGTGCAGCAGGGAAGAGGACACGTGTGCAGGGGTGGAAAGGGGGTGAGTGAGGTGGGGAAACCAACACTATAGAGAGGTGGAAAGCGGCGGGGTATCAAAGGAACGACCTCGCATGATGATGCATGTGACTGTGCTGTGCACACATCCACCTGTGTGGAGGGGAAGTGGACACATGCAGGGATGGATAGATAGTAAGAAAATAATTATCAAAAGGTGAGGGCGCGAGTGACAACAAGTTTTGTAGAGCTCTGGCAATAACAAGTTTTGAGAGTAGTCTATATTGCCCTTGAACCACTCTGGAAGCGATTGCACACTGCACCATTCCCACCTTCAGCCAGTGCTTGTTTCCCTTCATTATAAGCCGGTGCTATAAGCACACGATACAATGCTATTATCAAAGCTCTCATTCTAAGAACACGATCAGCCTCTTCTTCCTTTCGCCAAGCATACATTCGCTCTTTATCAAGAGCTCCCACTCCCAGCACAGTAGCCAGCCAATCAGGTATTGAGATGCACATCCTAACCCACACATAAGCACAACTTGCATACGTTCTAAGCAGGACACCATACACTCATTATAAGCGCAACGCACCCTCACCAGATGCACGTTCTCCTCTCTGCCTGCCAACACTGCTGCCAGGTCCTGAGCATGAAGGAAAGACAAGTATGTGCCTTGTATCGATCTCACTATAAGCACACTCGCTAAAGGGACACTCTCTCTCTCACATTCACCAGGTGCAAGTTCTCCTCACTGGCTCCAAGCACTGCTGCCAGGTCCTGCGTATGCAGGGAAGACAAGTATGTGCCATACACCAATCTCGCTATAAGCACACTCGCTACAGGGAATCCCTCTCACCTTCACCAGGTGCACGTTCTCCTCACTGGCTCCCAGCACTGCTGCCAGGTCCTGCGCATGCAGGGAAGACAAGTATGTGCCATACACCAATCTCGCTATAATAAGCACACTCGCTACAGGGAATCCCTCTCACCTTCACCAGGTGCACGTTCTCCTCACTGGCTCCAAGCACTGCTGCGAGGTCCTGCGCATGTAGTGATCGAAATTCAGCTACCTGGGCCTGCATGGTGAATGGGATTAGGAGTGCGGGAGTTAAGGGGGAAGGGGAAGGCGGGAAAGGGGAAGGGGAGCAGGAGAAAGGGGGGGGAAGGGGAAAGGGGTGGTGGGAAGGGGGTGGTGGGAAGGGGGGAGAGGGGAAGGGGTGGAAGGGGGGAAAGGGGGGATGGGAGGAAACGCGAGGTGGTTGGAGACGGGAGGGGAAAGAGACGTGCTTGGGCCAAGGCAGGCCGTGTCCGTACTTCAGTTAAGTGGGCATGCATGGTGAATGGGACGGGGGGTGCGGGCGGGAGTTAGCGGGTGGGGGGAAATGGGGGTGGGGGCAGCGGAGAAAAAAGAGAGGTGCTTGGGCCAAGGCATTTAGTGTCTGGAATTCAGCCACCAGGGCATGCATGTGTGGAGGGGATGGGATGGGGGGTGTGGGACTTAGGGGACGAGAGGGAGTGAGGAGCTGGGGGGTTGAGTGAAGGCGAACAAGTGATGTGAGGTGCAAGAACCACTCCCCCCTCCCATCTCTCATCTCTTCCCCCCTCTTCCTCATCTCCCTCAACTCTCCCCCCCACCCTCCTCTCCCCTCCCCTCCCCTCCGTCCCTCCTCCCTCCGTCCCTCCTCTCCTCCCCCCTCTGCCCCCTATTTCCTTCCATCCCCCAATCCGCACACCTGTATGGCCTGTGTGATGTGCGGCAGGAAGTAGGGAGGAAGCTTCGTGTCCCTCACGAGGCCCTCTGCAAAGGCCGCTATCTCCCCATCCGGCTCTGCAGCAGGGGGGATGGGGGGCAATGGGGGGAAGGGGATAGGATGGGGGGGGAGGGATAGGATGGGGGGAGGGGATAGGATGGGGGGAGGTTAAGGGGGGGAATGAGGCTGAGCCTTCACGAGGCCCTTTGCGAACGCAGCTGCCTCCCCATCTGGCTCTGTAGTAAGGGGAATGGATGGGATGGGGGGAAGAGGATGGGGGAAGGGGAGAGGATGGGAGGGGGGCAAGGGGAGGGGATGGGGGCAGGCAACGGGTAAGCATGGGGGGCCACAAGGGGAGGGAATTGGGGGGATGGAACGCGGAGGTCAAGGAAGGGAGGGGGAGCAATGGGAGGGGGGGAAGTCAAGGGGAGCCGGGGGGAGGGTGTAAAGGGGAGGGAGGGAGGGAGGGAAGTCAATAGGAGGTGACCCAAAACAGGCGGGAGGGAAGGAACGAGGAGAACGGACAGGAGGAAGAAACGGTGAGGGAGGAGGGGAGGGACGGAAAAGAGGGGAAGGACCGGACGGTTGGGGAAAGGTGGGTGCGCAACGGGACAGGCTTTAGTGGGGTGGTGGGTCCGGTGGGGGTTCGGGTGAGGGGGGGAGTTGAGGGGGAATAATCGGTAGTCTGGGAAAAGTGAGTGGAGATGAAAGAAAGGGATAGGTTAACAACAAGCGAGAGTCAGTAGAGTTACCGTTGCTGTTCCAGCAGAAGGCGTCCTGCAGCCGTTGATCTCCGATCTCGAGGTCCAAACGGACGGGCACGAGCGGGTCATCCACTAGCCTGCAGGGCAGAACGGGGAGGAGCGGAGCAGAGAATGGCAGAGCAGAGCAGAGAATGGCAGAGCGGAGCAGAGAATGGCAGAGCAGAGCAGAGAATGGCAGAGCGGAGCAGAGAATGGCAGAGCAGAGCAGAGAATGGCAGAGCGGAGCATAGAATGGCAGAGCAGAGCAGAGAATGGCAGAGCGGAGCAGAGAATGGCAGAGCAGATCAGAGAATGGCAGAGCAGAGCAGAGAATGGCAGAGCAGAGCAGAGAATGGCAGAGCAGAGCAGAGAATGGCAGAGCAGAGCAGAGAATGGCAGAGCAGAGCAGAGAATGGCAGAGCAGAGCAGAGAATGGCAGAGCAGAGCAGAGAATGGCAGAGCAGAGCAGAGAATGGCAGAGCAGAGCAGAGAATGGCAGAGCGGAGCAGAGAATGGCAGAGCGGAGCAGAGAATGGCAGAGCAGAGCAGAGAATGGCAGAGCAGAGCAGAGAATGGCAGAGCAGAGCAGAGAATGGCAGAGCAGAGCAGAGAATGGCAGAGCAGAGCAGAGAATGGCAGAGCAGAGCAGAGAATGGCAGAGCAGAGCAGAGAATGGCAGAGCAGAGCAGAGCGGAGCGGAGCAGAGAACAGAGCAGGGCAGGGCAGAGCAGCGCAGAGAACAGAGCAGGGCAGGGCAGAGCAGCGCAGAGAACAGAGCAGGGCAGGGGTGAATGGTGTGCGGAGGGGTTATCGGATGCGTCAAGTTGACTTTTGACTCGCAAAGGCGCTAAAGGAGCCTTGGGAATCCCGTCGAAGCTCGTTCAGGGCCAGAAGAGACGCCACAAGGCTTTGATTAAAATTGACAACCCACCACTCTATAACGGGGATTTTTGCCAACCCTGTCGCGCCCTATTTACCGCATGGCTGACGCGTAGCTGTCGCGACTGCCGCCACGTGGTTCGCCGTTGGGTGCGCCGGGCCGTCACTGGTATTATGCAATTATCACTGCGTATGAGAATTCTCGTAAACGATTCGCTGTTAGGTGCGCTCGGCCGTCACAGTTGTGCTGCGAGCGGCTTTCACGGCGAGTCGCGAATTCCTCAGCTGTTTTACATTTCGCGCGAGGCGCGGGGGGAGCGTGAAGAGAGGAAGGGTCGCGAGGAACAAAGGGGGCGGAAAACCATTTTACTTTTGAGCAGATTTCGGACTGTCCTTATCGGACGGTTCTAATAACGAGATCCGGACAGCCCTGATTGACGGTTACACGTCCGGACGATGCCCCGTCCGTGCCTCGTTTGTGACACTTTTTGCATCAGCGAAACTTTATCTCCCTGCGAAATGTAACAGACATTTTAGAGGTTCAAATTAGAACTCGTGCGCCAATGACAGCGGAGCACGGACGAACGGTCCGCTTTACTGTTCGGACGGTATCCGGAAGGTGGTCCGGCCCCAATCTGCCCAAAAAGTGTCAGACACCGTCCGGACGTTGGCGACGTCGCATGATGCCATGCGAAATTTCTTGCGAACTATCACGAGAAAGATAACCCTACTAAAGTTCGGACGTACATTGGTCCAGAGTCCAAACGGACATTGGAATTTGTTATACGGCCTTAGCGTCTTTACATGATTCAAGACCTTAGTGGGTCACTCTATACACGTACAACTCCAACTCTTGGGTTTCTAGGCTCGGTCCAACGACCTTGCCCTCCGAACGTACCTCGCGTCACCTTCAGGCTTTGGAAACCCCAAACCAGCACCAAACCATCGCGACTCTGGGGCCTTCACCCGACATTTTTATCAGGGTAATTACCCTGATTTCAAGGTGATGTCAGACCTCACACCTTGTGGTGATTAAAATTTCATAATTAATGAGTTTCCAACACTGATCCAGTCAGAGTAATACTTTAGGGGACCCTGAATTCTGGTATACACTCTCAGAGTAGTATTTTTACAGTCACTGTTATTACAGAGTACGAGTACTGTGGTCCCTGAATGAGACCTTCTCGATAAGAAGTTTCCTATAACTTTCCTTCAGATAAGCCCACCTTCGAGTTGGTTGTGTTACAGTACCAACACGCGAGAATACAATGGCAGCGAGCCTTCGGCGCTAGCTTCCCACCGCGCTGCTGCTCGGAAACCATGAACTCCACCATGCAGCCACACACCCGCGCCAGCGTGAGGTTGGGCTTCTTCCCGGTCAGCAGCTGGTGCTGCGTCGTCCCCGGCAGCGTCGTCGACCGTTCCAAGCAGTTGCGCACCCAGACAGCTTGTCAAAGAGCGAGGTGCCACCAGTGGTGATGCACGCCCATGTGCAGCAGCATCGTTCGCACGGACTCGACGACCGTGCGCATCTCCCGCTCAGCCATGTCGTTCTGCTGCGGATTGAAGGGGCACGTCAGGTCATGGAGGATGCCCTTCCCATCGATGAAGTTGGTGAACTCCTTCCCGAGAAACTCCCCTCCTCCGTCTGAGCGGAGCGACAGCACCGACGTCTTCGTCTGCCGTTCCACCAGCACCAGACACCTCTGGAACTCCCGCAACACATCGCTCTTCTTAGCGAACGGCATTGCCCACACGAACCGAGTGTGGCGATCCTTCAGCATCAGGAAGTACAAGATGTCATCCTTGGCAACCACCCGAAATGGCATGCACAAGTCAATGTGCACGACAACCAGTGCCTCTTTGGCGTCCGAGCCCTTGTCAGGGAAGGTGTGTCGTTCCAGCTTTCCTCCGACGCACGAGACACACGGTGGGTCTGCTCCGGTCGACAGCGTGATGTCGAGCCCAACAGCAACTTCATGCTTCACCAAGCTCTTGATCGTGTCGGCGCCAACATGTGCGAGCCTCGCATGCAGACGGTCGAGGGTCGACTTCGTCGACGAGACGATCGTCCGCAAAGCCACTACATTGGTCGACGGCGACCACGTCGAGCAGGGGCAAAGGTCGGTGCAGAGGAGTCGTCCGGTGTAGCATGCTCGACCGAGCACCTCCCCGATCGCGGCGACGAGCAGCATCTCGTCGCCGTCGCCCTACAGCTGCACTCCGCTCTCCTTCAGTTGGCCAGCTGACAGCAAGTTCGCCTGTACTCCTGGAACGTAGAGCACGTCGGGGATGAGGACCCGCTTTCCTTCCTCCCTTTCCAGAGCGACGGTTCCTCGAGTCTCGATGGGCTGCAGTGCCCCGTTGAATCCACGTACGTGCTTCACTCCGTAGCTCGGCGACATGTCGACAAAGATCGTCTTCGTCCCCATCACGTGGTGGGAGCATCCGTTGTCGAGCAGCAGCGCTATCGGTGTGAGAGTACGACGGCTTATGCTGGTTTTGAAAGCTTGCCTAGACTTTATTATGCTATATCTTGTCAGAATGTTATGCTCTAGCCTGTAGTGGGGTGCTCTATAGCGAGTACAACCCTTCTAGGGTTTGCTATTTGTATCCTCATTCTTGCTAGTGAATCCACTCTTTCCCTGAACTGTTTCTTGCCTATCTAGGGCTTTCCTAGCTATGGCGCCTACTTCTACTGCTTATCTTCACATGGTCTTAGAGCCCTATGCTCTTGGCCTGTGGGCCCCATCTCACTGCTTCCGTTGCTACTGCTACTCCCTGTCCGCCGCGCGCCCCGTGGTGCGCGGCGTCGAAATTAGGGTTTTCAGCCCGCCGTGCGCCCCGAGGCGCGCGGCGGTTTTCTGCCCGCCGTGCGCCCCGAGGCGCGCGACGGTTCTCTGCCCGCCATGCGCCCCGAGGCGCGCGGCGGGTTTCTGCCCCGTCACGCCGCGCGTCACTCCCGGGAGGCGCTGCGACGGGCGACGGGGACCCGCGCGTCGCCCCCCGTCGCCCGTCGTGGCCTGCGCGCGGCCCGTATGGGCTGCGCCAGACCCGCGCGCGGCTCGGGCCGCCTGCGCACGGCTCGGGCGGCTGTGCCAGGCCCGTGGGCGGCCCGTTCTTCGCTGCCCCTGCACTGCCCGCTGTCCCCCGTGCTTCTGATGGCGCCCCACCCCTGCTGCTGCCCGTTCTCCTGAATTAGGGTTTGGGGGTAGGGGGTATGGGGGTGCAGCTTCTGTGTGCCGTCCCCTGCTCCTCCTCCTCCATCTCCGAGTGCTACAGCTGCCGCTGAGGGGGGGTGGACCTGTTGGAGCCGTCGGAGTGGTACTAAGGGGGGTGAAGGGGGAGTGGAGCTAGGGGTGAAGCAGGGGGTGTGTGTCAGGGGGGGTGGGACTGTTTGGGGGAAGTTGAACGGAGGTTGCCGTCGTGTCGCCAGCAGCACCTGTAGTCCAGGGAGTTGCTCCGGTAGCCCAGTCGCAGCCACCTGTGCCAGTCGCCCGTGGGTCCGTTGCTCGTCTGCCGCTACTTTTAGCCGCGGGGCCAGTTACTCCAGTAGTCCGGAGCGTTGTTCCGGTAGCCGCTGTGCCAGTGTGCCTCCTGTTGCCCGTGTGTCTGCAGCTTCAGTCGTCGCCTCCTATCTCCTCTCCTCTTACAGTCTCGCCTCCTCCTCCTCACTTGCCCTCTGCGATAGCCTCTAGCTTTGCTTACATTTCTGAACTTTAAACTGTTGCTTCTTGAACTTGTGCTCAGAATGTGTGGTGACATTGTGATCCACCCTGAGCTTGTTCTGCTTTGCTTGCTCTGCTGATTACACCCCACTTTGGCTATGGGGGTGTGTCAGAATGTTATGCTCTAGCATGTAGTGGGGTGCTCTATAGCGAGTACAACCCTTCTAGGGTTTCCTATTTGTATCCTTATTCTTGCTAGTGAATCCACTCTTTCCCTAAACTGTTTCTTGCCTAGCTAGGGCTTTCCTAGCTATGGCGCCTACTTCTACTGCTTATCTTCACATATCTAGTTTGGGTTTTATTTATTATGCATAGATATGCTTGATATCCTAGGTTAGGTGCATTCATATATTTTATTATAGTTATAGCACCGAACCAGGTTACGTGTACCGAACTCAAGCCTATTCGGTTTCCACCGAGTTGCTTTCTACTGAGTTTGGGAAGGTTCTGTTCGAGACACTTCGCGACCCTCAGAACATTCGCGTAACACCTGGGTAACTGGCCTTGTGTCGAGACTATATAAGCCTCGTGTTGTACCTAGGTGTTTATTCAATTCACATTCTCTTTTCTGAGGTCGATCCTAGATCCATACACTTGATAATCATAGCCTGTTTGCACGCGAAGTTTTTCGACCGCTAAAACCTAGCTTTTAAACCACGGGGGCGACGTCGAAAAGCGCCGATTCGGGTACGTAAACCAGTTCCGCGCTATTTTTAAACGTCCCCCTAGAACTGGTTTTCGAACACTCCTCAGGTCCAGTGGCGAAAAAGTTGGAATTTCAACCATAAGATCGATTCGAATCTCAACGGCCCTGAGAATTTCGCAAAAAACGTTGGAATTCGGAGCGTCGGATCGATTTTCTTCTCAACAGCCGAGATTGGACGCGAATTTCTACTAAAGGAGATTTACGCAACCTACAGAATCAGCGCTCGTCATTTCGACAGTCGATTCGACTCACAGTAAGACGACTAGCGCCCAGAATTAAATTATTTTTGTCGCAAATCTTCCTATAAATCGCCAAATGGAGGAAAATGTGATAATTCCGTACGAAAAATTACGGAGTTACACACTGTGAAGATAGTAGGCAGAGTTAGGAGCCATAGCTAGGTAAGCCCTAGCTAGGCAAGAGAAGTTTAGGCAAAAAGATGGTTTCACTAGCAGCAATGAGGATACATATAGCAAACCCTAGATAGGTTGTACTCGCTATAGAGCACCCCACTACAGGCTAGAGAATAACATTCGGACACACCCCCATAGCCAAAGTGGGGTGTAATCAGTACAAAGAGCGAGCAGGTATAGAGCAGGAGTTCACAAAGATAAGCAAAGCTAGAGCTAATCACAGAGGGCAAGTGAGGAGGAGGAGATACTGAGGAGGGAGAGAAGATGGGAGGCAACGACTGAAGCTGTGTCAGAACATTATAGCTTATGCATTTGTGTAGGCTGTAGTGGGGTAGCCCATAAGGGGTACAACCCAATTAGGGTTAGTACTTGTACCCAACTCTTTCATAGTTCATTCATTCTCGTTTCAGTTTTCTCATGGTATCGAGCAGGTTCCCTCGTGGGAAATGTTCCTAGGGCCCACGGTTTTTTTTTTCCTGCCCGGAGCGCACTCAGCCCCTGCCCGAGTCGCGCTCCCCTCTCTCTCGGCCCCTAGTGGCCCTGTCGCACTGCCCCTGCGGCCCCGTCGCCCACCTACGGCCCCGTCGCCTACCTGCGGCCCCGTCGCCTACCTGCGGCCCCGTCGCCTACCTGCGGCCCCGTCGCCTACCTGCGGCCCCGTCGCCCACCTGCGGCCCCGTCGCCTACCTGCGGCCTCGTCGCCTACCTGAGGCCCCGGCGCCTACCTTTCCGGCCCCGTCGCCTACCTGAGGCCACGGCGCCTACCTTCCCGGCCCCGTCGCCTACCTGTGCAGCCCCGGCGCCATCTCTGCCGGCCCCGCCACCGTCCCCACGCGGCCCCGCCGTCACCGCCGAGCCGCCCACCACCCGAGCCGCCCGAGCTGCTGAGTCGCCCGCGCCGCCCGAGCTGCCCGAACCGCCGAGC